CGGAGACAATAGAGGCCGGCAGCACGCATGCTCCCGCCCCCGGTCCCGTCCCCCGTCGTCGTCCCCCCCCCTCCCCGGCCCGCCGCCCTTAACCCCTGCGCTGCTGCCGCCCGCCGGCGGGGCCTAACGCTCGCCGCCGCGGCCCTGCCGGTGCCTGAGGCGACGCTTCCCCGAGGCGCTGCCCCGCGGAGCACAAACCCTCGGAAAACCCCCCACACTCCGTTCTCTCCTACACGCAGCGGCGCCGGGATCGCCCGGAGGCCGCCCCACCGGGCAGGCCGGGCCTAAGTGGGGGTCGTTACCACCCGTGAGGCCCGGCGCGCTCCCCGAGAGGCCGCCCCCGCTTCACGGGAACGGGGGGGTGTATGGTGTATGGACTACATTTCCCAGCAGCCCTCGCGCTGCGCGGCGCCCCCATTCTACGCTTTGCGCATGCGCGTCTCCGCCGGCCCCGCCCCCCGCCCCGCCGGCGTCGGGGGTTGCTGGGGCGGCCCAAGATGGCGGCGCGCTGGAGCAGCGAGAATGTGGTGGTGGAGTTCCGCGACGCCCAGGTCGGGAGGGAGAAGCGGGGGGAAAAGGCTGTTGCCGGGAGGTGGCTGCCGCTCTGACCGGTAGTCCGGGGGCCGAACTGGCCGTTCGCGTGAGGAGGGGCCCGGGCCCGGCGGGCTGGGCGGCCCCGCGAGGCCTTTCGCCGGTGTCGGAGCCCTGTGCGCGGAGATAATGCGTTAAATTCACGAGGCGCTTTATTTCTAATCTTAATGAGATCCTAAGTGTCGGGTTTTTAAAAGTAGACCTAATAGAAGGTATTACCACTTCCCCCACGTCTTTGCTCTGAGACCTTTATAGCTACTTTCTCGGCTGGGATAGGAATTGTTGAGTGTTGCTTGATTAGCAGGAAAAGCAGGGTTTGCTTTTTAATAAATAGCAGAAAGGTCAACTTTTGTTTTTAAAGTTGCTCTTTGCAGGAGAGCTCCCCTCAGAGTTTGCTTACGTGCTCTCGGAAGCTATTCTAAGAAATGTGGAGTTTTAAGGCATTTGTAGTTGCTTAGCAAAGCTGGATCTGTTGGGTGAACTATGAACTGCTTCAGCAGGAAACCCAGAAAGGTTATAAAAAAAAAAACAACAAAAAAAAAGGTCTGCAAACTTTCTCATCTTCCAGTTTGTCCTCATGTGCTGGAGCACTGTCACCTGGGGGTTCACCGTCGCCAGCAGGGCCATCGAGTCCTGCCTGCTCCATCCAGCCTGCCCTCTGTAAGCTCACACAGCTCTTTGTTTTTATACCTCAAAAACTTTTACATCAGTCGTGTTTTCCTCCTGGAAGAAGCCTTAAAGTAGCCTTGTGTGCTGGTGAGGATTTGATCTCGGGGAAACCGGTAATGAGATACAAAGGTGCATCTTCTTAGATTCGCATCGCAGCTGGCTTGGGAGATAGATATGTGGCCTCGTGATTTGATTGCTTATTCATAACGAGCGGTGTGTGGGAGCGGCGAGGGGAGAGGGCGGGTGGTTCCCTCCTCTCCTGCAGCACTTGGTTTCCATCTCCCTGTTGCGCAGGCGGATGCCTTCACGGAGAGGTTAACCCACGGGTGTTTCGGTCGCCTCCGTTTGCTCTGGTGTGATCTTTCCAGAGCTGCGCTGACCTGCCTGCTCCTTCAAATAAAACCAGAGAGCCTCAGTGCAGCTAGGCTACTGCTTCGAAGCTAAACTCATTTATATATTGGTGCTCGAGAATTTTTTTTAGGAGTCTGCCTGAATGTTTTTGCAGCTGGGAAACCCCAGCTTGAGAAATTGAAACACCTTGGCTGTAATCATCCTGTAGCAGGCTTGAGCTCTGCCTCTAGGCCATGCTTTCTCCAAAATCCCTACCCCAAAACAGATTTGAATGGAAACAGAGGCAAAAGAGCTGGCAGCTGTTGTGTTTATAACCTGTAGATGTCTGCAAGCACTGCAGTTGTCTTTAGAATCATAGAATGGTTTGGGTTGGAAGGGACCTTAAAGATCATCGAGTTCCAACCCCCTGCCCTGGGCAGGGACACCTCCCACCACACCAGGTTGCTCCAAGCCCCCTCCAACCTGCCCTTGAACCCCTCCAGGGATGGGGCAGCCACAGCTTCTCTGGGCAACCTGTTCCAGTGTCTCACCACCCTCATAGTAAAAAATTTCTTCCTGAGATCTAATCTGAATCTTTTTTCTTCCAATTTAAAACCGTTTCCCCTTGTCCTATCATTACACCTCCTGGCAAAGAGTTCTTCTCCAGCTCTTCTATAGGCACCCTTCAGGTATTGAAAGGCTGCTATAAGGTCTCCCCAGAGCCTTCTCTTCTCCAGGCTGACCAACCCCAGCTCTCTCAGCCTGTCTCCATCCCTCTGAGCATCTTCCTGGCCCTCCGCTGCACCTGTTCCAGCCAGTCCATGTCCTTCCTGTGTTGAGGACTCCAGAGCTGGACACGGTGCTCCAGGTGGGGTCTCACGAGTGCAGAGTAGAGGGGCAGAATCACCTCCCGAGACCTGCCAGACCTTTGCTGTGCCAGAAGCTACAGCACCCAACCTGTAACATTTCAGAAAATCCCTGGGTAGTCTGGAGCCGGTATCGCCTACAAGTGTCACCTTTCTGTACAAGCTGACAGTCTCTGGGCACTTCTGATTTACAGGTGACCCAGGGGCTCTTGTCAGGCTGTCCTCACTGTCAAAAGGAGGGTGAAACTCACCACGTCCAATGGTGAAATAGTACAATTTGTAGCATCTCGGTGCGTAGACAGAAAGTTAGCTATGCAGGGAATGAGCCTTTCTTGCTAAGAGCTTGAAAACCAGTATAGCCCTGGCAAATTGGGCTGGTCTGTTGCCTTTCAGGTGGAGAGAAAGAAGCTAGATTCAAAAACTAATGTAAGTTCAGACGTGACAAGGTGTTTTCCTTGGCTTGCCCTAGCAGAAGTCAAGTGAGACGCCAGCGTAGACGTCTGAAGTCTGCGAAGATGCTGCCGAGGCTGTGGGCTCAGAGCTGGTTTTCAAATGTGCAGTACTCCTGCCGTGCTTATTTGCATAATTTTTACTCATAAACAGCAATTCTAGCTATTCTGATTGTTGTTTTAGGATAAAAACTCCTTTCAGGTTGGTTTGTTCAATTTCAACTCCCCTTTTTCTTGCTAAGAGCTTGAAAACCAGTATAGCCCTGGCAAATTGGGCTGGTCTGTTGCCTTTCAGGTGGAGAGAAAGAAGCTAGATTCAAAAACTAATGTAAGTTCAGACGTGACAAGGTGTTTTCCTTGGCTTGCCCTAGCAGAAGTCAAGTGAGACGCCAGCGTAGACGTCTGAAGTCTGCGAAGATGCTGCCGAGGCTGTGGGCTCAGAGCTGGTTTTCAAATGTGCAGTACTCCTGCCGTGCTTATTTGCATAATTTTTACTCATAAACAGCAATTCTAGCTATCCTGATTGTTGTTTTAGGATAAAAACTACTTTTGGGTTGGTTTGTTCAATTTCAACTCCCCTTTTCCCCAAGGTTGTGCTGTGAAGACCGACATATCAATATACCAAGTATATTAAATGGCAGCTCTTTGTGTTTTTTCCTGTGGCCTAGATAAGAGTGTGGTATCTTAGAGAACTGTTTATTGCCATAAAACAGCTTCATTTGTGACCCACCAGAGTAGCAGCCTGACACGTGAAGCTTTTTACTTCATTCTGTCTGTTCATTATGCTTTAAGATGCTTGGTGCCTGGAAAAACAGTTTACAAATGTTCATTATTAAAAACAGTTTGTAAGGATTTATGAGATCCTGGTGCCAACATCAGAGAAAATACACTCATATATGAAATTAGCAATCACTTTAAATTGGCAGGGTTTTTTTCCTGTCTTAAGGAAAGGTGGCCATGACTGTATGAAGTTTGTTGGCTGTCTAGCTCTTCCTCACACCAGAAAGTTCTGGTTCCAGCAGTGGCTTTAACGACCCTCATTTTAATTCCTCAGAAGAGAAAGGATTTATGAGATCCTGGTGCCAACATCAGAGAAAATACACTCATATATGAAATTAGCAATCACTTTAAATTGGCAGGGTTTTTTTCCTGTCTTAAGGAAAGGTGGCCATGACTGTATGAAGTTTGTTGGCTGTCTAGCTCTTCCTCACACCAGAAAGTTCTGGTTCCAGCAGTGGCTTTAACGACCCTCATTTTAATTCCTCAGAAGAGAAATGTGCATCGCTTGGGAAAACTTCTTTCTCCTGCTTGCTTTTTTTGTATAAATGTAGTAACCCGCTTTGTTGTTTTGCAAGGTACTGTGAAATCTAAGAAGCTGGAATTATTTCTTTACCATTTAGAGAGCCTCTTCACTGTTTTTTAGAGCTGCTTATTTACAGTGTTAGTTTTAGGACTAGGAAAACCTTGCTAGAAGACTGGATTTGCAGCCTAGGAAAAAAAAACAACAGTGAAAGAGGGTCGTTCCTGGAACAGCAAAAGCAGTGAAACTCAGCTTGGTTGAGGAATAGATGTTATTGGGGTTTCCTGTGGGCTTCTGCTGAAACTCCGCAGGCGTTTGTAGCTCTTTGCCATGTGGACTCTTGGTCTCTAGTGAAGAATGAGCCCCCGATGCTGTTTTTCCCTTGGTTGGGGTTCTTACAAGCAGGGGCTGGGGCCCTGGTTGAAAAAGCACTAGTGTTTTGTGATGGTTATTCTCCTGTCAAATCTGATCGAGGTGGAGCGGGATTGGCGTATTGCCTGTCAGGTTTTAGTGATGCTTCTAAGTAGTAGCTGTGGGACATCCTGAAGTCTTGTTACATCCACGCTGAGAGTACTGAGCAGAATCCTGAGCAGAGACATCCCCAGCCTTCAGAGAGGTAGCTTTGAAGGTGACAGCAGTTTGAAGAATGTGGGGCATATTCTGATTTTGTCCTGCGAATGCTAAAAACTGCATTGAAGTCATATCTATGTTTATGGGCTGAACTGCTCAGCTTTTCAAGTAAGATTTTCCTTTATTCTCTTGGCAATTAAACGACATGATCAGCCAATTCCATTCTGAACAAAAAGAGGGGGAGGCAGTGTTCATACAGTTTCTATTTTTTTTCTTCTTCTTATGGCATTTAAGTTATCTTTTAGCCTTCTTTCCAAGCAATGCCAAAGTAAATTCTGATGCCCCTTAGCCATCTCTCATTTTTGGAGACCAGCCATACACAAATGGTTGCATTTCTATCTCCCAGTACATATATAATTAAATCTGGCCCTGCAATGGAAGAGAGAGAGACTGAGAAAGCTCCTGAGCAGGAGCAGAGGCTGATTAATAAGGATTATTAGAGATTGCTGATTGAAAGGCTCCAGCTGTGATTGCCATAGTGGGGAGAAGGGAATATGGGCTCAGGGCTTGTAATGGGCTCTGCCAGATCTTGTCTTCAGTTTACTCCAATAAAGATGTTCTTTGTGCCCTCTGCTGCCTCCTAAAATCAACCGCTGCACCCCATCAGTCGTTTGTGCTGCTTTAAGGGGACGTTACTTCTGCCATCCCTGACAGATACCAGCCTTGACTCTGACCGTAGCGGTTTCTACCTTGAAGATGAGCTGGCAGATTTTCCAGAACTCCTCCCCAAAGCTGTGTGTTTGAGTGAGAAGCCGACCTGACAGGTATAATTTAGTTTTGTTCTCTGTTTCTCGTTAACAGGCGACGGCGATGTCGGTGGATTGCCTGGGACAGCACGCGGTACTCTCCGGGTGAGTGTGACGGTCCCCGTCAGAAACCTGTGACAGGCATTTCCAGCAGCCAAGTCAGCAGCCTTCGGGCTGACCTCCATTGGGGGGCTGATGGATTGCTTCAGAAAGGTGCAGCTGAATTCTCTTCAAGGCCTGATGAAGAGGATTCTGGGTCACGTTTCCAGTGGGATGCAGGGTGGAAAACCGGCAACAACAGCGCAATAAAGTACCCTCCTGGTTTTCCTCATACATGCTTTCCCAAATCTGCTTGTGGGAGGTGGCACATCATGCAAAAGTACTGTTTGGATTCTGCTTGAAATAACAGATTAAATCATTTCCTTAAGACCAAATGTGCCCCAAATATTCCCACGGTGTACTTGGGCAGAGGAGCCAAGCTCTCGGACCTGCTCCTCTGCTGGTTCAACGTGGGATGATGCTCAACAAGAGCAGTAGGTGCCATAGACTCTGAGCTTCCAGAGCTCCCAGGAGGGTTTGGCATTAGGTAGCCACCTTCAGGGCAAGTCTTCAAACAGCTCAGCAGTTGCCTGCCCGGCTGTAAACCCTCTAGTCTGGCAGACCTGCACAGGAATAACCACCTCAGAAGCAGGTTTGGCTCTAACTCGATGCCTCTTCCTCCTTACGCTTGCCTGGTTTCACAGCTGGCTTATTTGGGCCGACAGCAAGCTGGGGACAGCCCGTCTGCAGTTCCACATCAGGCCTGTGACCCTCTGCTTTTCAGTCTTCTCCCAGGTGCTCAGCACCCCTTCAGGATTTGCCTCCCTTCTTTAAAAGCTGTGTGAGAGCCTCAGTGAGGCTCAAGCATCTTCGCTCTTCAGAGCCCTGAGGACTCCACCCTTTTCAGTCTTCTCCCAGGTGCTCAGCAGCCCTTCAGGATTTGCCTCCCTTCTTTAAAAGCTGTGTGAGAGCCTCAGTGAGGCTCAAGCATCTTCGCTCTTCAGAGCCCTGAGGACTCAGTCTGGAAAGGCAGCTAAGATGTTCTTGATGTTCCTTCTCTTGGGGACGTGAGAGCCTCAGTGAGGCTCCAGCATCTTCGCTCTTCAGAGTAGGGAGCTCTGAGGACTTGGTCTGGAAAGGCAGCAAAGATGTTCTTGATGTTCCTTCTCTTGGGGAAGCTCAGAGCAGCTGTGCGTTTGCTACGCAGCCGCCCTGTGCGATGCTGGGGTGGTTAATTATATATGGGTCAATATGGTCTGGTGCTGGTCTTCCATCAGAGTTCAGCTGGCTCCCAATTATTTCTGGGTGGTTTATCTGGCTTGTAAGATGAGTCACGCTGTGGAGGGGATGGTACCTTGCCTAGCTTTGTGGGGAGCTGGCCACAGCCAGCAGGATGTTTAAGCTCGGGTTTAGCATCATGTAAATATACCTCTGCAGCATTTAGGGGTTAGCTCAGGTAAGTAATACATAACCAGATGGGTGCAGTGCTGTGTCCACCCACGTTATTAAGCTGCTCCAGCCGAGCTGGCTCTGTGCAGGTGGACTTGGACTGTCTGCAGCACCAAGCCCCCCAAACAGCGTGGTGTGGAAAGACGCAGCCACCTAAAATCATCTTGTGTTTGTCAAGGCTCATTAACTCTTGCTGGGAGAAGCCTCGGAGCTGGCTCCTACTGCGTTGTGCTCCCAGCCCTGGGCCACCTCGGCTCTGCTGCCGCAGCGTTAGGCCAGCAAAGCGTATTCGGATGTGTTTGCACCATCTCCCAGTGCTTCCTTTAGCATTCTAGTTATCTGAGGCTTTCTGTGGTCTGAGCTACTTATTACATTTACAAATCCTGTCTAATTTCAGTGTGTCTTTTCATATTTTTATTTTTTTAACATAGCCCTTTTTGAAGTATGTGGTCAAATGTAGCGTTCCCGGCAATCATATTGTCCTCTGTCTTGTCAAATGCTTCTCTTCTTTGCCCCCCTGGGCGTAAGGCTCTGAGCTCCACGTGAGCTTGGGCTCTTGAGATCCGTCCTGTGGGGTAGAACCTCTCTCTCTGTGTGTCTTGCAGCCGCCGTTTCCTCTACATAGTCAACCTGGATGCCCCAAACGAGGGCCATCGGAAGATCTCCCGGCAGAGCAAGTGGGACATCGGGGCGGTGCAGTGGAACCCGCACGACAGCTACGCGTACTACTTTGCCGCTTCCGTAAGTGCCTTTATTTAAAAGCTGTGGCTCATCATCTTCCTCCAGTCTTGTCGTGGCTGGATTCTGCAGTCTTGGAAGGCTGCGTGGAGCGAAGCTCAGAGCAGCTGTGCGTTTGCTACGCAGCCGCCCTGTGCGATGCTGGGGTGGTTAATTATATATGGGTCAATATGGTCTGGTGCTGGTCTTCCATCAGAGTTCAGCTGGCTCCCAATTATTTCTGGGCGGTTTATCTGGCTTGTAAGATGAGTCACGCTGTGGAGGGGAATGGTACCTTGCCTAGCTTTGTGGGGAGCTGGCCACAGCCAGCAGGATGTTTAAGCTCGGGTTTAGCATCATGTAAATATACCTCTGCAGCATTTAGGGGTTAGCTCAAGTAAGTAATACATAACCAGATGGGTGCAGTGCTGTGTCCACCCACGTTATTAAGCTGTTGCAGCCGAGCTGGCTCTGTGCAGGTGGACTTGGACTGTCTGCAGCACCAAGCCCCCCAAACAGCGTGGTGTGGAAAGACACAGCCACCTAAAATCATCTTGTGTTTGTCAAGGCTCATTAACTCTTGCTGGGAGAAGCCTCGGAGCTGGCTCCTACTGCGTTGTGCTCCCAGCCCTGGGCCACCTCGGCTCTGCTGCCGCAGCGTTAGGCCAGCAAAGCGTATTTGGATGTGTTTGCACCATCTCCCAGTGCTTCCTTTAGCATTCTAGTTATGTGAGGCTTTCTGTGGTCTGAGCTACTTATTACATTTACAAATCCTGTCTAATTTCAGTGTGTCTTTTCATATTTTTATTTTTTTAACATAGCCCTTTTTGAAGTATGTGGTCAAATGTAGCGTTCCCGGCAATCATATTGTCCTCTGTCTTGTCAAATGCTTCTCTTCTTTGCCCCCCTGGGCGTAAGGCTCTGAGCTCCACGTGAGCTTGGGCTCTTGAGATCCGTCCTGTGGGGTAGAACCTCTCTCTCTGTGTGTCTTGCAGCCGCCGTTTCCTCTACATAGTCAACCTGGATGCCCCAAACGAGGGCCATCGGAAGATCTCCCGGCAGAGCAAGTGGGACATCGGGGCGGTGCAGTGGAACCCGCACGACAGCTACGCGTACTACTTTGCCGCTTCCGTAAGTGCCTTTATTTAAAAGCTGTGGCTCATCATCTTCCTCCAGTCTTGTCGTGGCTGGATTCTGCAGTCTTGGAAGGCTGCGTGGAGCTGGCACGGCCACGTCCCTGCAAGTCACATCGCAAGGTCAAGGCCTAACTCTGATTTACTGCCAGCGAGGTGTTTGGCTTGATGGGTCGCAGTGGTGGGTCGGTGTTGAATCTAGTTTTGCTTGCTTGTCTTTTATAAAACACCTCGCCAAATAAACCAGGCATCCAAACGGTCCTCTTCTGGAAGGAAGGGGGTTGTGCTCTCCTTCTAACTCCCATTCCATTATGAGATTTGCGCGCTTGTTGAATTTCTTGCTCTGTGCTGTTATGTTTTCACCTCCTTGCCTTCCTGGTGGGCTGTGGTGCACCAGGCAGCCTGTAAATAGCACGGGTCAATACTGGCTCACCACTGCAACAATCTAGGTTTGCAGATAGGCAGGGATGGAGAGCTTTTAGCTCTGATTTTTACTCGGTCTGTCATGCTCTGTAGCTTGTTCACCCAAAGCCCTGAGCTTCTGCTAGTGGCCCTCTTTGCCACCAACCAGCACTAGCCGTGCACAGACTGTTCTCACAGTGAGGTGCCTTTGTTGCTGTGTTGCACAACCTGAGAGTCCTGGAGTAGCTGGGGGTGGAGAAGTGTAATCTATTATTTTTTAATTTTTTTTTTTGAGAAAACACTTTGCTGATGGTGCTTTCCAGGGATTTTTGTTCCTTTTGCTCCCTGGACTGGCTGCGAGAGTCCTGGAATAGCTGGGGGTGGAGAAGTGTAATCTATTATTTTTTAATATTTTTTTTTTGAGAAAACACTTTGTTGATGGTGGTTTCCAGGGATTTTTGTTCCTTTTGCTCCCTGGACTGGCTGCGATTGACATGAAAGGCAGGTTTAAAAGTGGAGCAGTGTTGTCAATTAGGAGCTGTGGCTTGTTTGCTCTCTGAGGTTCCCCTGCCTGTCTCCTCCCACCTCTGGTTTATGACCGACATCTTAAAGTTTGGGTCAGAAACGCCTCCTTTCCAGCCATCTCCCAGTCAGCTGGCATTTCGGTGCCGATGCAGTACAGCCCTGTCCTAGGACTAGGATTTAGCCTGTCTTGTTTAGGAGTGGAAAGCAGATTTACAGCGTGTGCTCGGCTCTGTGTGTCCCAGGGCAGGCCTGGAGCAGCCTGGATGTGTTCGAGGGCCACTCCTAAGGGGGCAAAGATGCGTTGGGAAGGCTAAATCAGCTTGGATTCAACACTGTGAAGATGAGATTTGCTAATTCTGGACTCAAGCTGGCTGGCAGGCCCCCATGAGTCCCCTGTGGAGCTCGTCATATACCACACAAGTGGTGTAGAGAGCCCCAAGGGTCCTCTCCCTCTGGAGAGGGTCCATCCCATTCCTGTGGATGGAAAGGGATTGTAAAAGGCTGCCGTCCCGTTTGCCAACAGCTTCACCTGGTTTGCAGTGCCGTTAACTGGAAGTGGTGCAGGCAGAGGGGAAGCCTGTCCTTGTGTTTCCATAAGGGCTTAATATTTTATTTTTTTTTAGCTTTTTTCCAGAAGAGCTGAAACATGTCCTCTTGCTGTGCTTGGCTGGGGCTGCCCTCTGGCTCTAGCACATTTCTGAGGACTCCTAAGCTGTTGTTTCAGAAATGCCATTGTTTTCCATCCTAGATCCTTGTTACTGCTTTTGTGTGGTCACAAATGCTTGAACAAGAGGGTGATGAAATTGTTGGAAGCCTATACTGATACTTATCATGAGAAGCACATTATTTTAGAAGGTTGTGCTGGGAGGAGCTGTCCTTCTCCCACACCTGGTGCTCCACTAAGAGTCTGAGAAACTTCTGGTGGTCCTCACCTTGTAGCATCAACTCTGGAGTCCTGGACAAATCCTGTTGGGTAATTTCACTCTACCCCCTTAAATCCTTCTGTCGATGAGAAACGTGCAGAGTTTTCCTTGCCTCGAGCTCTCGAGCAGCCCTGCTGTGAGCTATTAGAGAAACACCATATATTATTGCTGAGCTGGGATGAGACCTTCCATTTCAGGGAAGGCTGGAGAGTTTTATCCATATGCAAGTTTAAATTCATATCAAGTAGATTTGGGGTGAAAAAAGAACCAAAACACTATCACAAAAACCGGTCACAAAAAAATGTAAAATAAATCTTTTCGCTATTATCTTTTCCCTCATCTGTATGTAAGTCTTAAAACAAGGGGCTAATGAAGATCAAATTTTGAAGTCATGTTGTTTCTGTCCTTGCAAAATCAACGTGAGTTTCCAGTCACAGCCCAAACCCCACTGTGCTTGGTGCTCTATAGGCACCCAAAAAGGCGATTCCTGCCCCAGAAAGGTTAGAGCTGGCCAAAGTGAACCTTGATTGAGGCAGAATATAAACTTGAAGCATAGTAACTAGGCTCAAGTAACTTTGTGTGTGGCTGCATTTGGGGGAGGATTTATTCCTGGAATGAGCGAAGAGGCCCTAAATAATGTTGTCATTGATTCATCTGCTTTGCTCCTGTGGTTTACACTTAGTGATAAGCACTTAAGGCTGTTTTTTTCCTGGGCTGGTGAGGATGGAAGTACCCTTGAGGAGGTGACCTTGAAGCCATTAGACTGTATTGTTCGTTTGGCAATAGCCCTGATTATCCCAGAAGGGAATGGAGGGGGAGCTGAGGAGGACCAGTGGTGATCCATCATCCCCCGTCACTGAAACCTCCAGTTGTGAAGCTGAACAGACTGGCAGGGTATTCCTGCAGAGAGAATTTGGCTGCCTGTTGCCTGCAGTTACAGCATGTTGTTAGGAAATAAAAGCTCTGAGAACATCATTTCGTGGAAACATTTTGCAACGTGGCTTTTTTTCTTTTTTTTTTTTTTTCTCCTATTCTTGTTTATCTCCATTTTTAAGTGGGTGTAATTAAAGTGTAAGCTTTTCAGAGTCCTTGCAGCCTGTAGGTTCATCTTTGCTTTGGGCAAGGCCTTTGCTAATCACGGGGTGACTCGTTGGTAACCGGGGTTGTTCAAACAGAAGGAAACCTGGTCCTGACACGTGGATTCCTGGGATAACCTTGTCCGTCTGGCACGTCTCCTTTCTTCTTTCTAATTGCAGAGCAATCAGCGAGTTGACCTGTATAAGTGGAAGGAAGGTAATGGTGAAGTTTGCACGTCGCTGCAAGGACACACGCGTGTGATCAGGTGAGGAGCGAGCGATGCTGCTGGGTGGAAAACCCCAGATGGGTTGTTTCGTAGAAGATGGAGCCTGGTTTTCCTTACTTTTCCAGACTGTTCTGCCTGCCCCTCTGTCTCTCCCTCCTGTTTGGAGATGACAAGCTGCTCAGTACATGGCTCCCTCCAGTACATCAGCTTGGCTTTTGATGGCTGGAGTGTCATTGCCTTAGGCTGCTGTCCTTGTAACGAACAGCAGCCAGCAGCATGTTTAGTAAATTGAATCCCAGCCGTGTTTCTGTGTGAGAGCAGCTTAATTAAAGCAGGTAATCCCCCAAAATGGAGTTCACAACGAGTTACAGTGGTGCAGGGGAGATTTCTGCTGCTGGTTTTAGGGGTGCACTTTAGTCCTGGGCTGGAAATGTAGGCAAAGCACTGGTTTTACTCCAGCTTTTGACTCTGGAAAGTAATCACAGGCCTTGAAATAGCAGTTGTTTGGGCTGACTGGAGGCTGTTTGTGTCCCAGATGTGTTTGGTGAGTCCAACAGGAAGGCATTCCGGCTAATGCCAGGAACATGTGGTAACTGGGAGCTCGCTGAGACAGTGTCCCTTTTCCTGTGGAGGAAAGAGCACACACACGATGGCTGTAACGTTCAGGGCTAGGAGAGTGCTTCACTGGGACTTACCTAGAAGCATTTCATTGCTTCTTGGAATTTACTAAGAGAAATGATTAAGAACCTGCATTTTAATTAAAAAGTTTCAGTAGGTGTCATGGAATGGCCGTGAATTTGTCGGAGAAACGTATTGGGGGCTTGTGAGAAGTTGATGCAGACTGTGTGTGCTTTTCTGTGCTGAGCTACTATGATTTTGTATTTGCAGTGACCTGGACTGGGCAGTGTTTGAGCCAGACCTGTTGGTCACCAGTTCTGTTGACACGTACATCTACATCTGGGACATCAAGTAAGAATCAGTATGTTTCTGCACGGCGGGGAAATCGTTGGGCTCCTTTCCATAATTAGCAGCTTGCAGGGCAAAGCATGCACTGATGGGGGCTGTGCTTCCAGGGGCCTCATCTGCTCCCCGGAATCTCAAAGACAACTTCTCTTCCCCTATTTTCATGCCCATTCGGAGTGGATGAAGGGCAGCAGGGTGGTAAAGTTAAGCTACAGTCACGCTCCTGATTGGGAAAAGATAACGACCGGCTTCACTCCCTGCCCACTTTCCTCGGGAGCTTTTCCTGGAACACAAGGGTGTTCCTCAGCCTGTTGGGGTCTTTTTAGCTGAATGAGTGAGCACCGTTTCATGATCTTACAGCAGTTTTGCGCTAAATCCAGTGATTGTTGCTGACTCTCCCCCAGTGGTGGGAAGACTGGCAGTGATATTCAGGAATGTTTTCCTGTTTGTGCTTTCCCTTGCTTCCTGGCACTTTCTATCGTGAGTAGTTTCAGGGTTTCTTTCCAAACCCACCGGTGTTAACCCCCATATTTTACCCCTGAGTAGTGAGGAGCTGGCACTAGGGCTGCTGCTTTCTCTTGCTGGCTGTACAGCGACTCTTTATGACCCCCGGCAACTCGCTTTGTCCCCCTCTGCCTCTTTTGCTCAGTTATAATAGGAGGATAATTGTATAACCCCACTGCACCAGGCTACCCTGAGGCTTGTTTGGCTCCTATGAAGCACTTACATCCTTGGTTAAATGGTGCTTGAGAACGGCAATATATTATTAATGTGTAATTAAAAGACATAGAGAGACAATAACTGCTGGTTGTGTTGTCCTGTTATCCTGAATAGAGTTCTCTGAAGGTTGTTATCAGGAGCCCTGCTTTAATTCTCTTGTGCCCTTCCATCATTTTGTGCCTGCCTGTGTCACTGGTGCAGAAATACTGGCTTAGGCAGACTCTGACCGGCCTCTGTGTCCCACTTGTGGTAGTAGTAAGGTCTCCGAGGTCCTCCTGGTCCTGGGGCTGCTGGCCTCCAGCAAATGAGTACTTCCTACCCAAGTGCCTGTCTCTGCTGGCACCCGAGGGAGGTAGCCCTGCTGTAAGGGCAGCTGGAAATTCCCTGCTTCGTTTTTCATACAAAACCATAACTTTTGGATTAGGCAGAAATTCTTAGAGGGAGAGGTGCAATCCATTCCAGAAAACCCCTTGCTTTTCAGCAAACACAAAAAGCTGACGACAGTATTCCTTCTTTTCACTGGCATTTTTCACGGAAGGGCAGGTGAATTCCTGAGGAGCAAATTATTGCCTTGATCCATGTCCTGGCTGCGAGGAGTTGTCATGATGCCACACGGGCTTCTGCCACTGCAGAATGTGGTCTGTAGAGTCTGCCCACAGCTGGGCTCATTTCCTTACTGATTTTGCTGTTACACGCTGGACGTGAAGTCCTTGCTCTGAAGCCGCTGCTCCATCTGCCTTGACTCAGGGTCTTGCAAAGGCTTGAAGGCCCATCAGTGGCTTTTGTCGAGTTTTTCCCCAGCTCTGTGTGTTCCTTTGAATCCTCCTGGGAAAGGCTGTTTTGTTGCTTCCTGCAGCAACGCCGTGTGAGCCCCGTTTCCCTGCCCGCCCAGTTGCAACTATGCCCCGCTTGGCACGTGTTTCTCCTCCTTTTAGTCCCCTAAGGCTCCATCCTACATCCTAAACTCGCTGCTGTGTGTACTGGCCAGACAGGATGGCTGTTATCCTCCAGCTGGTCACCTCTTTCTTTATTCCATTTAACGTGGTGTATTTTGGTAAGCAGAAAGGCACGTTAGCTCCCAAGAGGCAGTGATAAAATTAGTCCTGGAATAGCAGGGGGCTCCATGGGGAGGCTGGGCTGTGCCGTGGGTACTCACATTGGCCATGTTTTGTTTCAGAGACACCAGGAAGCCTACAGTGTCCCTCTCTGCAGTGGGTAAGTGTGGCGTGCGTGCAATATAGACTTGTTTAATGCCTAATTTTAGCATCGTGTGCCCCTGCTGTTATTCTCCCTTTCTTCACACATCGAGGCTGAACATGGCAGGGGACAGAAGTGCCACCACGTGTGATTGTCCCATGTAGTAGCAGCCCAAGAGGCCCCAGTTCACAGCTCCTTTTAGAGGAGCAGAATGTTGAAGAGATGTGGAGCCCTTGCAGGTTCCCAAGTGTGGAGGACAGTGGTGGTGCTCGGGCTATCTATCCCAAAATTGGTGGACAGTCACATGTCATTTGTGCCTTCAAGGCAGGAGTAGCTTCTTCCTGCTCTTGTGCTGCTTGTCCTGTGTTGTCTGTCTGCAGTTTCTTCGTGTCCTTTTTATATTTGATCAAATCAGCTGAGAAACTGAATTGCACCCCAGGATGCATGTCGGATGGCCAGCAGAACCTCCTTTTCCTGAGTTACCATCCCCAGTGTCACAGCAATCCTTCTAACACGTATCTCGTGCTCTGCTGCTTCGGTCTCCTTAGGCTACACATCTGCAGTGGCCCACCCCTTCCCTCCCAGCCAGAAAACCCCTCTATCACAGCGATGCAAAAACCAAAAACCTACTAAATTGGAAGCAGCGTTTGGTTCTGGTGCCTGGGCTGAGATTTCATGGCTCAGCTGAGCCAGCCCAGCAGGGAGCTCCCCAGAAAGCTTCCTTCCTCCCATCTCTGTTTAGCGCTGGTCCAGACGATTGTGTGCCCATCAGTGAGTGGATCAAATCAAACCACTGGAAGCCTGTTTGCAGCCTTTTTTTTTTTTTTTTTTTTTCCCCTGGACTAGCGTTTTGCCAGGTTTTCAGGATGAATCTGCTCACAGTGCAGCAGGAGGTGGGTAGGGAAGGTGGGGAGCAGCAGCAGGCTGAGATCCATTTCGCGTTCTCGCGGACCTCACCTTTCTGGATAGCTTAAAATGTTTGGAAAACACAGATTGGCAGAATTAGGGTGAACAGAACATGTATTTATCTTACAATATCTGAACAATCCACACCAACTGAAACTGGATTTTGCTTCTTATTAGAAATAATCAACCAACTTCTTATTTTAAGCCTTTGACTGATTCCCTCATGATATCATGTAACCGTATCTGGGCCATCATTCAGTTTCTTTACAATTACTTTGACTTCTGTGGTGTATTTTGACAGTTGGGCCTTCTGATCCACCCAGTGACTCGACCTCCAGCTGGCCAGACATGAGGTCCACCCACACTGCAGCCTTCTACACCTGTATTTTAATAATAGATCAATACCACTGGTTCCCTGTATGGCATTGAATAGTATAGAGGGTGTTGGGGAGACAAACAAATCGATCCTTGAGCACCTGGAAGCAGCTGGAATGAAAACAGAAGGGATTTGGGAGGAGGGTGATGACCCTGCAGTTCTTGTCTGCAGGAAGTTGCTCCATCTGAGGTAATGGACCTGAGTAATTTAATCAGGTACAGCCTATGGCTAGAGATTGCAGTGAAGATCTCTTGCTTTGAGGTCTTTGGGACACCAACGCTCAGCTGAAGAATCAGGAGTTAGTCCTTTTCATGACATCCTTCGTGCTGGCTTCTAGGATATCTTTCCTCTGAACTGCTTTTCCTGTGCTAAGAAGAGCAGCTCAAAGCCCAGGTCAGGGGTCTGTTGTGCCATTTACTCTTTAATTGTTTGGTTTGACTCATTTGTTTTAATTGTTTGTGCTACAGCTGGAGCTTCCCAGGTGAAATGGAACAAGAAAAACGCCAACTGCTTAGCGACAAGCCACGACGGGGATGTCCGAATATGGGACAAAAGGGTGAGTTGAGGGTCCCCTGAGCAGCCTGTGCATATTGGCACCTACCTGATAGAGACATCCCTCTGGTCACAGATAAATACCAAGAAAAATGTACTACTTTATCACAAATCTCTCTCATGGGGTGATTTAAACTAGAGAGAATTGGGAGCTTATGAGCCGGAAGAATCACAGAATCTTCTAGGTTGGAAGGTATCACAAATCTCTCTCATGGGTTGATTTAAACTAGAGAGAATTGGGAGCTCATGAGCCGGAAGAATCACAGAATCACAGAATCTTCTAGGTTGGAAGGGACCTTAAAGATCATCTTGTCCAACCATCAACCTAACTGACAAAAATAGACACCCACACAACAAACAAGGAGCATCATCACTAAACCATACCTCCCAGCACTACATCAACCCGGCTTTTGAACACCTCCAGGGATGGTGCCTCAACCACCTCCCTGGGCAGCCCATTCCAATGGCTGAGAACCCTTTCAGTGAAAAAATTTTTCCTAATATCCAGCCTGAACCTCCCCTGAAAGAGAGCATGTAGATAACACCTTCCCTAGAAATCATGCCCATTAACATTTTGATCTCATAGTATCTAACTCTTTTGCTGAGTGTGGCTCAGGGCTGCATTTGGTGACTGGAATTAGCCACATTAGCAGGACCTTTCCTTCAGCTACTTTTGCTGAGCAATTTGCCTTTCCCCAGCAGGAAGGTGTTCTACCTCTTGCCCTTGTTCAAGTGTCTTTTTTTATGACAAAGAACTCGACCAGATTTTAGTAGCCCTGTGCTGAGAAGGAAAATGCCTCTCCTTGCAGAAACCCAGCACTGCAGTGGAGTACTTGGCAGCTCACCTTTCTAAAATCCACGGGCTGGACTGGCATCCCGACAACGAGTATACGCTGGCCACTTCCAGCCAGGACAACTCCGTCAGGGTAAGTGGTGCTCCTGGGATGACTCCTTGGGAGATGTCAGGCTGGTGGAGCAGATCCCCTCCTATTGCTGCTGGAGTCTTGTGCCCTGCATGCCATTGGTGACATCTGGATCCTTATATTTTTTTTTGGTTTCTGGCAGCCTGTGCTTGTTGAGCCAGGGGTGCACTTACAAAACGGGCAGAGAAATCACTGCAGGATGGGTGCACATATGTTTGCCACATATCTGTGGTGGTTTGGGCAGTGCTGAAGCTGAAAACAACCGCCTCTGCCTGTTGCTTGCCAGAAGGGAGCTGGCCACACATGCCAGAAGAGCCTTCTCCCCAAAAAAGCAGCGTTGCCACCCCCAAACTGATGGCAGCGACTTGTGGGGAGACATACTCCAGTCCCTGGGGTTCCCAAACTCACCTCGAGTGGAGTTATCGATAAGACACTGCCTGCAAGCCTTTTACTTGGGGGAAATAGTGTGATTTGCGTGCCAGCCAAATGGAGTTCATTCACATTTAGCTGAGCTCTGAGGCAAGCACAATTGATGGGTATTGGAGCAAAGCAAAAGGTTAGATTCTTCATTAGGAAATTAGCAGTAACAGCGGGGGAGGGGGGAGGTGGTGCTGCCTCCAGTCTGGACTGGCACGTTGGCTGGGAGCCTGCAGGGTACCTTGTAGCTCTGAAAGCCCAAGCAGGCTGCCTGGCTCCCTGCTCTAATTACTCAAGCTATGATCACTGTGAATATGACCCCAAGTCGCTCATTGGCTAAGGGATGCTGCCAGATGCTGGTAGCTTGATATTTGTCCTTTGGGGCCATCTCTGCTGTTAATGAACGGGATTACTAACGATGCTGTGGGCTCCCTGGCATGTTTTTTGCTCTGTTATATCTGCAAGCCACATGGAAAACTGCAGCCTGAAAGCGCAGCCAGCTGACTCCTGCCTTTGCTTGTCTTTTTGGGTTTGTCTGTTATTGTTTTTTTTTTTTTTTCAAGTTCTGGGATTACCGTCAGCCTCGGAAATACCTCAACATCCTGCCCTGCCAGGTTCCTGTCTGGAAGGCAAGATACACGGTGAGTGAGAGACTCCCACCAGCCCCACTCATGCTGTGAGAGCGAACGCACAAAGAGACCTTCAATACAGAAGAACTGCTGAAGGGCTTCTCACCAGCTCTACTGCTGGACATGATTAAGTTGATTTTAAAAATCCCTCTTGGTGCTTAAAAGGCCCAGAAAAGCCACGTCTACAATGGGGGCACTTGGGAAAAGGAATGACTAGGAGTGTGAGGTCCCAGTCTTTGGCATTGTCCTCCTGGGGGGGGTAAAACCCCAGGCTGCTGCTCTCACTATCCTGTTTTTCCACTCAGCTCTGGTGTTGGTACCCGTTGCACAGAGTAATGTAGAGTCTTCTGCACTCTCCAAGTGCCTCCTCTTCTCCCAAGGTTTCCAAGTGTGCCACAGTGGCCTCTTACAGCATATCAAATCCAAGAACTGTTGCCTTTTATAGACCCAGCCATGGGAAGCACAGGCTCTTAACATCAGTCCTAATCAGTTCTCTTCCCCAGACATTGGAATGTGGCCTGAAACCAGTGCTGTGCCTCGAGTCTCTGATCCCTTTTCCCTGTCCCCGTGGTGGGGGGTGTAGGACTGGGTTCCAGTGTTCCTCTGAGCATCGTGAACCCTGAGCAGCTGGGGGGGCTTGGTCCCCAGGCAGCGGTTCTTGCAGCTGTGGGGAAATTGCCATGAGGATCCCATATGAAAAGTCAAGGGTGAAATCCCTCCAGCCTCACAGATGAAAAGAGAGGAAGCAACAGAAAGAAATAATCATTGAATATCTTCATGTATTACATCTTATTTGTTAGAATGGGGCCAGAGGAGACCATGGAGATGCTGGGAGGGCTGGAGCCCCTCTGCTGTGAGGACAGGCTGAGAGAGTTGGGGGGGTTCAGCCTGGAGAAGAGAAGGCTCCGGGGAGACCTTGGAGCCCCTTCCAGTCCCTAAAGAAGGGGGGCTCCAGGAAAGCTGGGGAGGGACTCTGGATCAGGGAGGGGAGCCCTAGGAGGAGGGGGAAGGGTTTGACCCTGCAAGAGGGGAGATGGAGCTGAGATGTGGGGAAGAACTTGTTTGGTGTGAGGGTGGTGAGAGCCTGGCCCAGGTTGGCCAGAGAAGCTGTGGCTGCCCCATCCCTGGAGGGGTTCAAGGGCAGGTTGGAGGGGGCTTGGAGCCACCTGGTGTGGTGGGAGGTGTCCCTGCCCAGGGCAGAGGGGTGGAACTGGATGGCCTTTAAGGTCCCTTCCGACTCAAACCATTCTGTGATTTTTATCCCTTTTAAGACACTGCTTTTGCACAGCAATTGCCTTAGATCCTCCCAGTTTTAGGCCTGGTTCAGTTTTGTGCTGAGCTCCTTTGAGCTTCTTGTTGGTGGGAAAAGGGAAAAATTAGAGTAGGGTATCAGCAGCATGGGAGTGTAATTCCCCAAGGCTAACTGGAAGGCACTCTTGTTGGTGGGAAAAGGGAAAAATTAGGTTAGGGTATCAGCAGCATGGGAGTGTAATTCCCCAAGGCTAACTGGAAGGGTGTTTCTCTCTCCAGCCTTTCAGCAATGGGCTGGTGACAGTGATGGTCCCCCAGCTCCGACGGGAGAACAGTCTCCTTCTCTGGAACGTCTTTGACTTGAACACCCCTGTCCATACTTTCGTGGGACACGATGACGTGGTGCTGGAGTTTCAGTGGAGGAAGCAGAAAGAAGGTGAGTTCGGGGCTGGATGTTCTCTCTCCTGTGCTCTAACCAGGGCTGTGGAGGCCTGGCTCCTGGCTGTGGTCCTTGTGCTGTCCCCCTTTGACTCTTGGAGCAGCTCCTACCCACTTTTCTGTCCTGCCTCGAGCTACAGCTGGTTTGCAGTTGCTTTACGGCGCTGCACGCAGCCCTGTTGTTTCCATGCTAACAAAGCAAATCTGCCCAATGCTGAGTGGGTCAGCGGTGACTCTAATTGCTTCCACTCTCCTGTGAGTCTATTTTTAAATGGATCTTCAGAATAAATTGTACAAGCTATTAGATGGGTGCACCCTCCCCCTGCTCAGAGCTGCAGACTTACCCAGTTAACCCCTCACGTCACTGCCAAGATCAGCAGCCTCCAGTGTTCACCAGACCCCACAAACCCACCTTATCTGGTGCTGGGAAAGGCTGGGGAGGAAGAGCATGGGATAAAAAAGCTGCTCTTAGAGTTCCATTCGGACTAAATTTTCCAGTGTAGGCAGCTAAATATAGGAGATTCCGTGTTAGAGGTTGGATAACCACACAGAGCACGGCTTTGTTTCCAGCACCTCGGCTGCCAGCGACTCAACGAGCACGTCTGGCTTTGGGGTCATTTGTGGGTGCTGCTTTGCAGCACCACGTCCAAGTTCTGGCCCAGCCCTCTGCCACCAGCTGCTGGGACAATTTGGTTAAGTCACCTCTTTCTCTATCCCTTGCTTGCCCTCTTTCAGAGAGAGGAGAGCGACACAGAATTGTGTTAGGATCTGCAGGCGCGGTCAAAGCTTGCGAATGAACATTCAAGCAGGCTTGAACCACAGTGGTAGTGCCTTAGCTGAGTTAATAAATATATTTCTGAGGCTGGAAGTCACCCTCATCTCAAGCAGCATCCATCAATCACAGGAGCATTCCAAGTCCACCCCAGTGCAGAGACAACCAAGACAGTGCAAATCTCTGCTGTGCCGCATTTAGGCGGCCCCTGTGGCTCAGCAGAGGGCTGGAGGAAGCAGCTGTGCAGCAGCAAATTCTTCAGCCTCGCAGCTGTTTGACAGGGGGAACTTAAAAGTGTATCACAAGGCCTAAACATGGGCATAAATAAGTCTGTGGACCTTTGTCTGCTGATAGATAGTATGCGGCTGGGTGTATTTCATTACAACCTGAACTCATCTTGGCATCATCCAAGTCTTTCAGAAGGAAAAAGTGGGAGGGTAGAGCTTCTCCTAGCTTAGAAATGTTTTAAAATTCTGCATCTTGAGACAGAGATGATGAACTGAAAGATATTTTCAACATTACAGTTGTTGTAAAAATAAATTAGTTTCTCAACTATATTATTTCTTCTGTTTAAATAAGCATTGTAGTAGATCTTGTTCATTCCTAGTTGGAAAACTTGCATCACATACGTTATACTTACTTTGTGCTTTCCACCTGGAAATTGTACCCCATCTGGAGGTGTGGGAATGGTGGTGCAGGGGTGCACCCAGGTGAAGTAAAGCAGAAAAGGGCTCGCTCTACCCTTCGGTTTAGTGCTTTATTCCTTGGACCTCCCTGCTGGCTTGCTGCAATCTGTTTATGCTACACGCAGGGCTGAGATATCTGTGTTTTCAGCAGGGTCTATAAGCTGTTTCCATCCTTTGTAGGTTCCAAAGACTACCAGCTGGTGACGTGGTCCCGTGACCAGACCCTGCGGATGTGGCGGATTGACTCTCAGCTGCAGAGGGTATGGACACACTTTTGCTCTTGAGCTGTAGGTGGTTTTCTTACAGGCTACTCACTCTGCCTTTTGATTTAGTGCCTTATTCCTTGGACCTCCCTGCTGGCTTGCTGCAATCTGTTTACGCTACACGCAGGGCTGAGATATCTGTGTTTTCAGCAGGGTCTATAAGCTGTTTCCATCCTTTGTAGGTTCCAAAGACTACCAGCTGGTGACGTGGTCCCGTGACCAGACCCTGCGGATGTGGCGGATTGACTCTCAGCTGCAGAGGGTATGGACACACTTTTGCTCTTGAGCTGTAGGTGGTTTTCTTACAGGCTGGATTCACCTCCTTTTCCTTGCACTCCCGCTCACCCCTCTGATACCCCGGAGCTGCAGACACAGCAGCCGCTTCGCTTTCCCCTTCAGCTCCAGCCCAGAAACAGCCCTGAGGACACCTGTGATGAGGCCACTCTGTGTCTGTGCCTCTAAAGCTTCTGAGGAAGTGCAGGGCCCACTGTTTTATAATAGCAAGTGTAGAAGTTGTTTAGGGAAGGTGGAGATCAGTTACTGCTTGCATTGCCTCTGAAGATGCCACCTCCATGGCTGCAAGACTGTAGGGCTCTTTGTTGGCATTGTAGATACCAGGTCAATGTAGGGATTATTCCTTGGACCTCCCTGCTGGCTTGCTGCAATCTGTTTATGCTACACGCAGGGCTGAGATATCTGTGTTTTCAGCAGGGTCTATAAGCTGTTTCCATCCTTTGTAGGTTCCAAAGACTACCAGCTGGTGACGTGGTCCCGTGACCAGACCCTGCGGATGTGGCGGATTGACTCTCAGCTGCAGAGGGTATGGACACACTTTTGCTCTTGAGCTGTAGGTGGTTTTCTTACAGGCTGGATTCACCTCCTTTTCCTTGCACTCCCGCTCACCCCTCTGATACCCCGGAGCTGCAGACACAGCAGCCGCTTCGCTTTCCCCTTCAGCTCCAGCCCAGAAACAGCCCTGAGGACACCTGTGATGAGGCCACTCTGTGTCTGTGCCTCTAAAGCTTCTGAGGAAGTGCAGGGCCCACTGTTTTATAATAGCAAGTGTAGAAGTTGTTTAGGGAAGGTGGAGATCAGTTACTGCTTGCATTGCCTCTGAAGATGCCACCTCCATGGCTGCAAGGCCGTAGGACTCTTTGTTGGCATTGTAGATACCAGGTAAATGTAGGGATTGTCCCCTCCACTTCCTCCCCGTGTTTCCTTTGCCTCTTAGCCTGGTGCAGGCAGCGTGAATCCTGGTGTTCTGCTCTCTGGCAGCAGTCACAAATTGCTTTTGCAATTATTAGAACAGCTGTGCTGGGTTGGACCAGAGGTTCGTATGGCCCGTATTGCCCTCTCTCCTCCTCAGCCAGGATTGTCTTGGAAGAGGATGAGAACAAAGCAAGCATAAAGTGCTATTTCTCTCAAATGCCTCCCCAGCCTCCTGCAGTTTGCAGCTCTGGGGCTCACGGACTCTGGTGTCCTTGTGCTTGATAGAGCTTGATGAGTTTCTCTTCCATGGACTTGTTCTGTCTTCTCTTGCACCTCTATAAATTTTTGTCATCTTAAACGTCCTGTGAACAAGGAGTTTCCTGGCTTTTCTGCAGCTCATTTCATTTGCTTATTTTGCAGCCTGCTAGTTTCATTCTGTTGGAGGTGAAATGAGCAGACCTCTTGTTGTGATTCAGTAGGCCTCCAGCATATCCCTCCTCAGCTGCCTCCTTTTTCAACAGGTCTTGATTTGCTTCATCCCTTGTACGAGAACTTTGATTGTCCTTCTGTCTCTCATGACCCTTTTTCAGTTCTACTATATACTTTTTGGGGTGGGGATCTGAATGTTGTTTTTTTTCCTGAAGAATTTCTAGTACTCATTTTGTTTTTTTAAATGGTTGGGTGTAATTCCCTGAAGACATCAGCTTAGTCTGGCCTCTGTGTCTTGTTCCCCAAAGTCAGTTTGAACTTGCCATTTTCCCCCTGTATGCATTGCTTTATGTTTAGCCAAACTGAAGTTCGCCTTCCATGGTAATGTAGTGACTCCTGCCAGGTCCTTCTGTGATTGTTTGCAGTCAGCCACCCTTGTTACCCCCCTGAATGACTTGGTGGCATCAGCAAACCTGGTCATGTTGCTGTTCACCTCCTGTTCCAGGTTTTTAATGACTATGTTGAGAAGCATGTGTTCCCAGCACAGATCCTGCAGGAGTCCTGCAGGTCTGTAACAAACCTTCTCTGTGAAAAATGACCCTTTACTCCTACCTGATATATCTGTGAACATTTTTCTTTCTTTCCTGTCTTTAAACCAGTTGTTCAGCAGTGTCAGAGCCTTTACTTCCCCCACCCTCTGCTGGCTCCCACTTTTTTGTCCTTCTTTTTGTCTGGATCAAACCACACATGTGATGGCGTGTTGCTGGTGACTAATGCTGTAATTTGCTACATTGCACCCTTACCCTTTCTCCTCCCTGTGTTTCTTCTCTTCGTCTTCCCTATTTTCTTGTGCTGAACTTAAAATAGAGGTTTTCATGGTCTCTTTTTGATACAGGACCTAGATAAGGCTCCTGGGTATGTACCCAGGTCTCTAGATCCTACTGGAGTGTAAATATCAACAGCAGAAAAGTGTGCTACTATTATATCTATTCTAAAAACCTAAACCAGTTTTGACAAATGAATTCTAGGAATTAAAAGTCACATCAGCTTTAGTTTCGATTCAAGTAAAACCTCTGTTATTTGGACTGGCCCTGACAATTAAGTGGCTTTGTAAGCAAAGAGGAGCTTTGGCCAGGCTGTCTGAGGTGACAGAGCTGAGGGTGCTGGAAAGTGGAAGATCATCTGTCACAGAAATAATGCTGAGGGCTTAGTTATGGCTGTTGTGTGGACAGACCTACCTTGCAAATCCAGCTCCCTGGAGAAACGTGTTGTTTAGCAGCAGCTCTTTCCATGGCTTGGTTTCTGTTGTGCAGCGTGTGGGTGTGTTTGTTCTTTCCAGCTCTGCGCCAACGACATCCTGGATGGAGTGGAGGACCTCATTGATGGGATCTCTCATCTGCCAGAGCCAGACAAGACCCTTCACCCCCAGGACTCCGAGCCCCAGCATAACTCTGGGCACGGGGATGAGGAAGGTGAGACAAGTGATGGCACTTTGAGTTGTCTTTATGTTGAGAAGAAGATGCATCCTGGCGTAAGACAATAACATCACAGGCAAAGCACAAACTGGTGCTGTTTCGAAGGTTAATGGATTCCCCATCTGGGAGGAGGGAAAACACAGGAGTTTCTCAGGATGGTCCTCGTGAGTTTTTTCTCCTCTAAGACAACGATCTCATTCCAGCTGTGAAACAGAGCTCTTCCTTGCCAGTAATACCATTTAATTGCACTCTCTTTAGGTCATAGCTGTGGCCTGCTGCCAAAAATAAGGCAGTCAGAAAGTCAGTGCTGGCTCTTAAGAAGGTAGTTCAGTTTAAGCTGAGAAAGGAGTCCATAGAAGAAGGGAGCATATGGGTAGCAATTTGGTTCTCCCTTTGACTTGCCAACAAACTGGAGAGACGGGGAGGAAGCGGTCTAATATCTGTCCTCTGAAGGAAGGAGTCCCTTGGGGAAGGCACCTCTTCCTAACTGGAAGTTGCCTGCCCAGCAAATGCTGGTGAAGTTCTCCCTGGCACCCTGTCCTGTGTGGGAGCAGAACAAGTTTCTAAAAACTCTCAGCACCTCTGTCTACATGAGGGTTTTATACTATGATAGAGAAGGTCCTGGTTACCTGTGCTCACCATGAGCAGAAGTGTTCTCATTCTGCCTGCCTGCCCTCTCTTTTTCCACAGGAGAGAGGTAACTCTTTCACTGTCCCCGATGAGGTCACGTTCGTACGTTCCTTGTGGTTTCTGTCTGGGTCTGGCTTTGGTTCAGGTTTCCTTAACCTTGGTTAAGGTTTCCCTTGTGGCCAAAGGGAATGAAAATGGCTTTTCTGTAGCAGGGTAGATTTTGCTGCAAATACTGTGACTGCGGGATCAATGACGAGCAAGTCCCTAGGTAGGAATTTCAGGGGTTTTTTGCTTAAAAGCTATTGTGGACTGTTGATGTTTCACCCTGGAGGTGGCTGTGTTTCAGCAGCAGACAAAGTCTCCGTGTTACATTAGTAATGCACTTTGGGGGATCTTTGAAGAGAAGAGCACTCTGCAGATAAAGCCCACCAGCTGTGTCCTGATCGTACAGCTCTCCGCACTGGCTGCTGCCTGTACAGGGTTTTAGGAGCATAAACAAATATGTGGGCTTTTGGGGATTTAGAAACTAATTGGAAGGGAATGGGAGAAGACAAAGGGAGGGTACTGCCCATATTGGGAACGTCAGAGATGGCTTTTCAATAAGCTATGTGGTGTCTTGAGCTAGAAATAATTATCTTCCGTGAGAGCCACTGATCTTCCTTTAATCCCCTTTTTCCGCTCCCTTTTGTGAAGTGTATCTAAGCACTACAATAAATCACAAGCAGGAATGAGTAGCAAAGCATCCTACCTATCCAAATGCAGCAACCCACTGGGCAGCAGTAAAACCAAATATCTTTGTCCCAGCAGCAAAGTCAGTAACTCTTAGAAAAATGCCTGTGATGGGAGAGCTTTTTTTTTTTTTTTTATTTCTTGTCATTTATTTTTTTGCTAGGAGTTATCTGTGCCAGTGTGAGAACAACAGCTGAACAATCAGGACTTCCCTTGTGTCTTTGGAACCATCATCAAAAACCGTATTTGGTCTTTGTAGGAAGGGGTGCCACAGTGAAACCCCCTCCAGAAGGAGCTGCCCCTGCCCTAAGGGGGGCTCATGGCAAGAAAAGAGGAAAAAGTCAGGCACGGCCACAGGCAGAGACCAATTCTTCTGAAACTCGGTCAAGTTTGCCATCTTAACCATAACTCCTTGTGTCCTGCAGCACTTGCCTGGCTGTTTAAATATATTCTGGCCCTCAGGGGTTATTTTCCTCCTGAAAACTTCTGGAACTGGACAGCTAGACCCTGCGTTTTGATCAGTCTTTAAAGACCATTAAAGCACTAGAGGGCTTTGCAACATTAAGTGCAAATGGCTGCCACAAATTAATTAAGCCCCTACTAGGGCCAGAAATACCGTCTTTCTTTCTCCCACAGCCTTATTGTGTTTTGGAAGCATTCCCTGAAAGCCAGGAGTGGTGGGGTGTGAGTCCCAAAGACCAGAGCTCCTCCTGGAGACTGCTTTGGCAGCAGTTCTCTCCTGCTGACCTGAGAGGCTCTGGTTCAGCTGTCTGTGACTCTGGCAGCGCTGTGTAGAGAGGAGAAGGGGTCTCAAATGGGTAGAGACAGACGGTTTAGGGCTGTACTGTTACCTTCTGTAACCTTCCTGGGAAATCTGTGTGCAGAGAGGTTTGGTTTTTTTGAAGAGCAAGGCTCTAAACAACAGCTGAGACCCTCCAGCTCTTTGGCAGGTAAAACTCCTACCTCCCCGTGTCAGGAGAGCAGAGGAAAGCCTGCTGTCCTGGCTGCCTCCCGGCATCGCGTGTCAGAAGTCTGTCTGTTATAGCTCGTCTCAACCTGTTCTCCATCTCTCCCAACAGCCTTAAAAGAAGATTTCCTGAACGACCCTGTGGTGGGAAAGAAGACAGACCAACTGGGGCTGCCTCAAACGCTGCAGCAGGAATTTTCGCTGATCAACGTGCAGATCCGAAATGTCAACGTGGAGGTAGAGAGTTCCCTTTCTGCTGGTTTGTTGGGAGGGGATGCGGGCAGGCTGGCTCATCGGAGCTTTTGGAGGGGAACCTTTCTTGCTGCAGTGACTGCTGCCTGTAAACAAGGTTTATTTTGAGCCGTGGAGATCCTCTTGGACAGGGGTGGTAGGATAATCCCAGACACTGGGAGCAAGGGAAGTGTTTCAGCACAGTCAGTACACTGGTGCTGGTCCCGAGAAGGCTGGATGGTGTTTTCCTCTCTGCCTGGACTGCAGGGTGGACAGTAATTTGCTCCACTACCTACAGCTGATCAAATTTTGACTGTTTCTGAACCTGATCTGCGGAGCTCTCCCTATCCTGTGCTCTCACCCTCCGTTTTGGCGTGTCCTGGGGGGAGGAGGGTTTGCTGTCACTGTGCCCTTGAGCACAGCATGACTTCGACTTTCAGGTGCGCAGAGGAATCAGCCCCTCAGCGTGAATTTAAGTTGCTGTAAGTTCCAGGTCCTTGGAGGTGTAACCACAGAGAATTGCTTTTCCTCACACAGATGGATGCGGTGAGTCGGAGCTGCACGGTGTCGGTGCACTGCGGCAACCACAGGGTCAGGATGCTGGTCATGTTCCCTGTCCAGTATCCCAACAACGCTGCTCCCTCCTTCCAGTTCATCAACCCAACTTCCATCACTGCTTCCATGAAGGCAAAGCTGCTCAAGGTGTGTGGGGAGCGTACGCTGTCTTTATAAATATACAAATGGTGGTCACTTGATGGCTAGATTACGATGTAATTAATAATTTGACCTTGCTGAAGACATAGAATCACAAAATGGTTTGGGTTGGAAGGGAGCTTAAAGCTCCCCCAGTGCCACCCCCTGCCCTGGGCAGGGACACCTCCCACCACACCAGGTGGCTCCAAGCCCCCTCCAACCTGCCCTTGAACCCCTCCAGGGATGGGGCAGCCACAGCTTCTCTGGCCAACCTGGGCCAGGCTCTCACCACCCTCCCACCAAACAAGTTCTTCCCCACATCTCAGCTCCATCTCCCCTCTTTCAGGGTCCAACCCTTCCCCCTCCTCCTAGGGCTCCCCTCCCTCATCCAGAGTCCCTCCCCATCTCTCCTGTAGGCCCCCTTTAGGGACTGGAAGGCCATTATAAGGTCTCCCTGGAGCCTCCTCCAGGCTCTTCTCCATACCACAGGTCACTTTGAACTGATATATTGTGGAGCTTCCAGGGTGAGGTTTTTGTTGGCCTCATAGCCCAGCATTTGCCTTTCTCCACTGGTGCTTTTTCAACATGTTGTCTTTGCTGCTGCTCTGTTCCGGTGTGATGTGTATTGCCTGGGGATCCCTAACATCCTTCTCCTTATGCAGTTTTCCCCAAGCTCATAATAGACAAAATGACCAGCGAAGCATCCAGCTGCAGAAAGATAATGTTTTTGAGCTGGGATGTTGCTTCCTGCACAAACTGTTTTAAAAATGAGGGGACTTTTTACACAGACCCCGCTAATTCCAGACGACGTCTGTGATCATTATGTGTGGGAACTTCCTGTGGCTGATGAAATCCCTTCCTCGGCAGCGAGTTGATGGATCAATTTGCCTTTCTTCCTGGAAAAAACCCACCTGATCCAATTTGCCACAAACTGGTGTGGGCTACAGTAGTATAGAAGCCCAGATCCTGACTCAGAGTGTGCTGGATCTAGGTGAACCCTCAAAGCTCACAACTGTTCCCCAAAACAGAGAGTGTGCCGGTGGGTCAGCGTGGCTCCAGTGGGTATCAGGGAATCTCTTTGGCCTCTCTGGATCCTGGCGTCTTAGTTGTTCTGCAGACAAAAAAAAAAAACAAACAGATGTGAGGAAGGTGTGGAGGTAACCATGGCTCAAGCTGCATCTTGTGTGTATTCCAGATACTGAAAGACACTTCTCTGCAGAAAGTGAAGCGGAACCAGAGCTGCCTGGAGCCCTGCCTGCGTCAGCTGGTCTCCTGGCTGGAGTCTGTCGTGGTACGGAGAGCTGCCTGGGCTTTCTGCCCTAGTTTGTTGTCTTCTCCTACGTCTTCAGTGAGGGTCCGGCCTCATTAGCCGTGTAAATAGACCCCTGTGATCATTAGCCATGTAAATAGACCCCTGTGACTGGCCGTTACGTTGGTGTAAGCGCTTCTGGTTAATGTTGAAGAAAACTGAGCAGAGGATTAGATGAGTTTTGTTTCTGAAAATCAGGCCCTGAAGGTTTGCTGCTCTGGGGAGCTCTGCGTGCTCACTGATGCTCAGGTTAGCAGGAGTGGCTGGGGGTCAGAGCATCTTAGCAGCACGTGGTAGCTCCCCAGCTCTGAGGACATCCCACTGAGTGCCAGGGCATGGTTAGCATCTGTGAGGGGCCTCAGGGAGCTGATGGATTCATTCTTGTCTACAAGGCAGTGGCAGATGTCTTCACCTTCTCAGTTCTAGTTAGAGATCCTGCTAGTCCTATTCTAGGGTCTTTGTTTCTTTCCCTTGGGGGGGTAAAAAAAAAAAAAGAAAAGCTGTGAAAGCCTGTCTTTTCTGAAGGCTTGTGCTGAGGTTTGTAGGGATGATACTGCAGATAAATCCAAATCATGCTCTGCCCTGAGCTGAGATCTGTGATACCTACTCAGCATCCCGGTGTCAGGTATTAGGTCTGTGTGTGGGTGAAGTGTGCTGGAGTGGGTGTTTTTAGCATTCAGGAAGAGATAGGAGAGTCTCCTCAGATTTTCTTTCGGAGAGATTTTGTTTATTCATCACAAAGGTGTGGGGGGTTTTTGTGTTTGTTTTTTTTTTTAACATGAAAAGGCTTAATTCTGTTTGGTTTCAGCAGTAATGTTGTAAGAATGGGAACTTTCTCCATTGTAGGGACATCCAATGAGCTGCTGCCTTTAAACCTGTATACTCTGTGTCCAAATCAGTGCAGATTTCTTTCAAAGTTCCTGTGGATAAGCCTAAGGTTCCTCAGTATTTCATACCACCTGCCTTCCTTGAGACTCCCAGTTCTGTAGGATTCCTATTTGAGGAGGCTGTCCTTGAGACTCCCAACCTGTGTTGGACACCCCACAGTTCTGTAGGATTCCTATTTGAGGAGGCTTTGCCTCCCTTGCATCACTGAGGTGTCAGGTTTAGCTCAGCTCCCTGCATTGAGAGTCCTCTCCAGAGCCTGAAGATCAGGTTTTCCGTATAGTTTCCCACTGTTTCACCCCAAGTTAAGCTCTGTATTTCAGCACGGCTGTGGTGGGAGAGAAATCTCTGGCCAAGCAGCCAGAGAAGCCCTTTTTCCTCAAAGGTGAATGTGCTTTTGGGTGCCTTTGCAGCCAGAGAAGGAACTTCTGCTCTGGCTCAAAGGACCAGCCCCTTCCGTGGGGCTGCGTGGTGCTGCGCTGCCCGCTTCTCCAGCTGGGTTTCCTTCCTCTGGCAGCAGGAGTGTGACCTTGGCTACCTTCTGTTTCAGAACCAAGAGGACAGCACGTCCAGCAACCCCTACGCTTTGTCAAACTCCGTGACGCCCCCCTTGCCCACCTTCGCCCGGGTCTCCAATGCCTATGGCTCCTACCAGGACTCCAACATCCCGTTTCCACGGACCTCTGGAGCCAGGTTCTGTGGCGCAGGTTAGCCCCATCACCCCATCACGTTACAGCTACCAGGAGAACAGCCCTCTTGACATCTTGGGGACCACTTGCCTCTGAACAAGAGGAGGCTTTGGTCACTGCCATGCAATGAATAAGAAATGGTATTAAAGTAGCGTTGTGATAAATGTATAGATAATGAGACTAGTTAGCAAGTGTTTGCAGGTGGTGTTGCATGTGGGATTTTGGAAATCCAGGGCTTGTTGAAGAGATGGCCTTTGGCTTGTGTATTCCAGAGACAGATCTTTTGCAGAAGACTGGGAATAGCTATTTTCCTTGCCTGGTCCTCTCCTACCAGCATCAAACCGCTGGACATATTGTGGCTCTCAGTCTTCACAAAATTACTGTGATTCAGGATTGAACTTAAGCTTTGCTGAAGCCATGTTCGTGTTACTAACCACTCTTTTCTCATTCTGCACCCTTTGTGTTGTCCAAAATAGCTTTCCCAGGTCATGGGGAAACTTCTAAGTTGGAGGGCAGGGGTGGGGTACAATCACATCCAGGTTTCCAGCAGAGTGTGCGATGCAGAGATCATCCTTGAAAAACAGGCTAAGGTCTGAGGAAGAGCTGCTAAGTTTCACTGAGCTGTTTCAGATGCAAACCTGCCTCCTCCGGACCTGTATCCCAGTTTGAGCATGTTTTGAAAGCTGTTTTTCATACAGGCCTCACCCAGTTCCCTGCAAAAGTAAACCAGAGTAGGATTGCATTGAACAGGCTCCGTGAAACCTGCTAAGCCTTGAAACTCTTGCAGGAGTGGGTAGCTGAAGACACTGGAGATGCTAACGAATGGGGTGGGGCTGTGCTTTGGTGAGAGAGTGCTTTGGAGGTGGCTTGAGATGGCTTGGGTTGTCCTTTGGAAGAGAAGAGTGGCACAAGCTGCAGTGGTTTCTCTGCAGAGCCAAGTATCTAAACACTCGCCTCTGGAGTACCAAAGTTCTGGTGAAGAGTTAAAACCTGAATATGTGTTTTCTCTCACATCTGTAAGCCACTCGAGGCAGTGCTTTTAAGACAGTCGTCTCAACAAAACGTGCTCCTTAGAGGGTTTGCAGGGAGTAGATTTGGGTTGAGAAAATGAGGTTGTCTGCTTGTGGTTGAAAAGCGCTCAGCGTAGCGGACAGGCACCCAGCCCCTCGACTCTACCTTAAATGACCGTGTTTCCCCGTATAAATCCTGGGCAACCTGCTCCCCCTGGGGGGGGAGAGGTCACCCTGGGGTGATCTTTACGCCCTGTCCTGTCTCTGCAGGGTACCTGGTGTATTTCACGAGACCCATGACCATGCACCGTGCGGTGTCCCCGACAGAGCCCACCCCCAGGTGAGTCCCCTGCCTGGTGTTTGAGGTGTTCCGCTGTCACGGGCAGGAAAGCAGAAGAGTATCAAGTCCCATGGTGGAGCTTCTGACCCTCAAAGCACTGACCTCGAGTGTTAGCTGTGCCCGTGACACACAGAGCATGGTCCCTTGTGTCACTGTCCCTCGGCAGACCCTTTCCTTCAACACACCTGAGACATTTCTAGCAGCGTGGGTTAGTGGAGATGTCAGCGTGAGCCTCTGGGGTGATTTGGTGGGTGAAAGCTCCTGAAAGTGTGTTTTATTTGCAGGTCCCTGTCGGCTTTGTCAGCCTACCACAGCGGCCTCATCACCCCCATGAAGATCCGCACGGAGACTCCAGGCAACCTGCGTCTGTACAGCGGCAGTCCCACGCGCAGCGAGAAGGAGCAGGTCTCCATTAGCTCCTTCTACTACAAAGAGAGGGTAAGTACCAGGCTGAAAAGCCTTTCCCAACACTTCAGCTTTTGTGACCTGTGCTCCTTCCGTATGGCTGGTAACAGCAGCTTCGTATTCCTCTCAGGAAGGCATCCTTGTACGGGTAGCTCTGTAAAGAGTGTCACATGGATTTATCTCTTCTTTACTGTAACTTCTTTACTGATCCTCTCTAGCATTTGACCTGCTTATTTTGATGGCTTTCTACACTGACCATCACAGCTTCCTTCAGTGCATTACACGGCCTCCCTTTGCATTACATAGGGTTAAAATCTCACACTTAACAAGTTGTAGCCTCCAAATAAGCACGTGTAGGCAGTTCTGCTTTTCTCAGTACTCCCTGATATCTAGAACTGCAGCTCACTGACAACCTCTCCTGGATTATGGGCTATACTGGGTTATTTCTATTACAGGTGTCTCTTTCAGCAGTATGTGCCCCTTTGGACTTTTATTTAAACAAAAACCATTCTTACCTGATTCTCTGAAGGACTTCTGGTTTAGGTGTAGGTCTTGCTGTCGTTGCTGTTCACAGACAAGGCTTTGGAGGAGAGTGGGGTTGTTTCCTTCTGGGATACAGCGGGTGAGGAAAACCCCTTGGTAATTGTAGGGTGGCCTTAGGGTAGTTCTGAAGCACCTGAGGGCCCTGAGTGCCCAGAGCAGATTCTGTGGGAATAATAGGCTTGGAAAAATAGGGGAAGCTTCCACCGAGAGCCTGAGAATTCAGGGCACTTGAGCAGTTTGTCCAGTGTCCGTGTGGATCTGCCAATCCCTGTACTTCTGGTTTAGGTGTAGGTCTTGCTGTCGTTGCTGTTCACAGACAAGGCTTTGGAGGAGAGTGGGGTTGTTTCCTTCTGGGATACAGCGGGTGAGGAAAACCCCTTGGTAATTGTAGGGTGGCCTTAGGGTAGTTCTGAAGCACCTGAGGGCCCTGAGTGCCCAGAGCAGATTCTGTGGGAATAATAGGCTTGGAAAAATAGGGGAAGCTTCCACCGAGAGCCTGAGAATTCAGGGCACTTGAGCAGTTTGTCCAGTGTCCGTGTGGAGGATACACATTCACTGCAGCACCAGAGAGCTTCCAGGTGCCCCAGGGAAAGCCAAGACCTGCCTGGGCTCTCCTTGTCTGTCCCAGGAGCAGAGGGAAAGGCAGAGTCGTGAGCTCTCATCCTTCCTGGGCACTCAAAGAGGTCTTAATTTTCCATCATCCCTGGATGTGAGAGCTGACCCCTCTGGGATTGTGTCCTGCTTTATGTGACATGAGTTAGTCATTACACCTACCAACCAGGGGGCCAGCCTCTGTCCCCATCCCAAGCTGTGCTTCCCTACAGACCCCGGAAGACTCTCGGAGTCCCCGTTCTGGTGGGTTTTTTCCCCACACAAACTTCTTTTTGATGAGAAGAGAAAATGGTGCTGCCTGGAGCGGGAATTACAGCCTGCTCTAGGCTTTGCAGGAGAGTTTATTTAAAGAGCTACCTCTGTCCTCTGCAGCGTGCCTGTCTCTGACACGCAGCTCTCTACGATGACAGACAGGGCTAAAAATAACACGTGGAAGCAGCTTGGTGCAATTTTATGTGACCCCTCTTCCCCCCCAGCCCTTGTATTGATGGCGAAAAGGTTTTTGTCAGGGGGGGGAAAAGGAGTTGAGAGAACAAAGCGTGTGTGTAGCCATGTCTGCCGAGAGCCAGAGAAATTCCTGTGCTCCCCTTCCCCCTGCCAAGCCATCCCCTCGTGGGCTGGGCTGGAAGAAGCATAAGGGCCCTAGGAAGGAGATATTTCAAATATTTTTGCAGATGAAATGCCTGTATCTCGCTTTAGCAAAGGTTTTCCGATTCTTCAGGAGTTGATGTCGTGGCCTCTGTTAGATCAATGCTACATATTTTCATGTCATTTCATTGTGAGGATTTTAAAAAGCCTAGACGCTGAGATCTAGTTAGCTCCCCTGCTCTGAAGCTTGGATTTTATATTTGCCTTAAATAAAAATGGAAATTTTGGGTGTTAAACACTCACGTTACATAACTTCAGTCCCAAAACTGAATCTGTCAGTGAGAAGCAGGTATTTAAATCCCATGTAGCAACGACTGGCATCACTACTGTGAGAAGACAAATGGAATTTGCCTGTTGCCAGACAGGAAATATGTCGTGTTCCCGTACAGGCAGGGGGGCTGCTGAACCCAGCAGGGATCTCTTTAGGAAACCAAAATGAAACTAAACCTGGCACTGAGCCTTTCTGTGCTCGTTTAAATGTGTGTATTCAGATATATATATACACACACAGACACACACACATATATCTTTCTCACTTTTTATTCACACATGCACACTCCTTTCTTCCTCCCTCTTTTTCACTCCAAAATAACCCACTAAAGAAGAATAGTCAGCAGAAAGAAGAAGCTGTATCTGTGCTGTGGCAGTGCCATCACTGGTCCAAAAGTGGATTTCTCTTAAAGAAGGTTCCGTGGCTGTGGGTTTTTTCCCCACAGTTAAAGGGTTGTGCCAGGGGGGACCTGGGGAGAGCTCAGCCTTGCCTGAGGGACAGCCGTACACAGGGGTGGTGGCTGGGGTGTCCCTGTGGGTCCCATCAGGGAATTTGGCAGGGCTTGGGAATCACTGCTTCTCAGGACACCCCTCAGGTTTTTCTGGGTGCCCACCTGGTTGAGACCTCTCGAACTCACGGCACATGGGGGTATAGACTGGCAGGAGTGGCTCCCATCAGGAGAGCAGGACTTCCTAGAGGACTGAGCTTAGTTTTCCTTCTACTAATCCTTTTCTCCTTCTCTTGTGAGACCTGGTGGAGGAAAGTGTAGAGTGAGGCTGCGGTCTCCTCCTGGCCCTGCAGCCAGCCCTTGGCTCCCTGTCTCTCCCAGCAGTGAGACACAAGGGAAGGCAGAGACTTTCAGCCAGCACGACTGGTGGTACTGACTGCCAGTCATCAGCTGAAAATACATGTAAAATACATTGCACTCAACACAAATAATCCTATTCTTCCCCGTTTTGTTGAGTTGACTCTTACAGAACTACAACAGAATATTTTTTTCCAAGTGAGTGCACAGTAATGTGCTTTGAGAGATTGCATTTCTTATTGCTATAATACTTAATGAAATGTCTACAAGTTCCTAATGAAAGCCAACTTTGAAGCTATTCTGCAGAGTCAATCAGTGAATTCGATTGCTCGCTCAACCTGAATGAGTTCCTCAACCCATCACGGCAATTTCCACGTGGCCCTGCCAAGTAGCAGGGTCTCTACATCCCTTCTAATGTCCTGACATGTGGCTTTTATTGTTTAAAATGAGAGTGAACAGTTACAGCAGGTTCCAGTGGATGAGGTGCTGGATGTTAGAGGGATGTCTGAGGAAGCAGGGGTGGTTTTTTGGCTTTCTGTGCCAAGGCGCTGGGCAGCTGCGTTAAAAATCCTGGGGTTTGCACTCAGCTGCCTTCCTCTTCAGCCAAGAGGAGTAAAACCAGTTAGAGGGGGAGCCTGGCACGTGGGGCCACCGGGGTGTTGTCCTCTGCTCTGCTGCCAGTTCGTGGTGTGCATGAGGTCAGTCACTGCAGTTCAGTGCTTCTCTGGGGAGCACCACCCCGCGTGGAAGACTTCATGCCCATCTGGGGTTGCTGAAGTCTCCCACCAGGGCTGGCGTGGGGCACGGGCACAGCACCCCTGGCTTTGCCAGGGCCACAGGAGATGTTGTACAGCACAACTGTGTGCAGATGAAAGGGGGGATCTTTGGTTCACAATTGCTCGTTGTGTAACAGAACCATTGGGAAAACGGTATCTTTAACTCTGCTGGTTCAGGGCACTTTTCACTTGGGTTTTATTTACCTTTGTCTTTAATTTTCTTGGTGTCTCTCTTCCCTTTTCCTGGGTATAACGTTTTCACACACAGATGTCTCCTCGCTCTGCCCGGCGACGTTGGTCCATACAAGCAATTAACGACTTCCCGGTACTGTGCGCTGTGCTAATACTGTCCTTGATATAACCCTGTCTTCTGCCCAAGGGCCCAAGAATAAAATGCCACCTGCCTGCCTTTGAGTAACCTGCACAGAGGTGGGGCACTTGCCTGAGCTTCAGAAAGAGTCAACACACTGTGTAAGTGGACAGGAGCTGGTTTGCAGGGTACAGATACTCACCTACAAACATGCTTAATTTAGCAGTGGGGAAAGGATGCCAGAGGGGTAGTTTGAAGTGTAAGAAGTGATCCAACCTCTAAGAAACAGAGAGGAGCTGGCTGATTCTTACGTGGCATCAACCAACTGATGAGAGTGACATGAAAGCACCTCATTTCTGAGAAAGGTGGAGCCTCGTCGGAGAGGGAGGATCGCTGAAGAGCTGTGGAAGAAACAAACTGGTATATCTTTCTCACTTTTTATTCACACATGCACACTCCTTTCTTCCTCCCTCTTTTTCACTCCAAAATAACCCACTAAAGAAGAATAGTCAGCAGAAAGAAGAAGCTGTATCTGTGCTGTGGCAGTGCCATCACTGGTCCAAAAGTGGATTTCTCTTAAAGAAGGTTCTGTGGCTGTGGGTTTTCTCCCCGCAGCTAAAGGGTTGTGCCAGGGGGGACCTGGGGAGAGTTCAGCCTTGCCTGAGGGACAGCCGTACACAGGGGTGGTGGCTGGCGTGTCCCTGTGTGTCCCATCAGGGAATTTGGCAGGGCTTGGGAATCGCTGCTTCTCAGGACACCCCTCAGGCTTTCCCAGGTGCCCACCTGGTTGAGACCTCTCAAACTCATGGCACATGGGGGTATAGGCTGCCAGGAGTGGCTGCCATCAGGAGAGCAGGACTTCCTAAAGGACTCAGCTTAGTTTTCCTTCTACTAATCCTTTTCTCCTTCTCTTGTGAGACCTGGTGGAGGAAAGTGTAGAGTGAGGCTGCGGTCTCCTCCTGGCCCTGCAGCCAGCCCTTGGCTCGCTGTCTCTCCCAGCAGTGAGACACAAGGGAAGGCAGAGACTTTCAGCCAGCACGACTGGTGGTACTGACTGCCAGTCATCAGCTGAAAATACATGTAAAATACATTGCACTCAACACAAATAATCCTATTCTTCCCCGTTTTGTTGAGTTGACTCTTACAGAACTACAACAGAATATTTTTTTCCAAGTGAGTGCACAGTAATGTGCTTTGAGAGATTGCATTTCTTATTGCTATAATACTTAATGAAATGTCTACAAGTTCCTAATGAAAGCCAACTTTGAAGCTATTCTGCAGAGTCAATCAGTGAATTCGATTGCTCGCTCAACCTGAATGAGTTCCTCAACCCATCACGGCAATTTCCACGTGGCCCTGCCAAGTAGCAGGGTCTCTACATCCCTTCTAATGTCCTGACATGTGGCTTTTATTGTTTAAAATGAGAGTGAACAGTTACAGCAGGTTCCAGTGGATGAGGTGCTGGATGTTAGAGGGATGTCTGAGGAAGCAGGGGTGGTTTTTTGGCTTTCTGTGCCAAGGCGCTGGGCAGCTGCGTTAAAAATCCTGGGGTTTGCACTCAGCTGCCTTCCTCTTCAGCCAAGAGGAGTAAAACCAGTTAGAGGGGGAGCCTGGCACGTGGGGCCACCGGGGTGTTGTCCTCTGCTCTGCTGCCAGTTCGTGGTGTGCATGAGGTCAGTCACTGCAGTTCAGTGCTTCTCTGGGGAGCACCACCCCGCGTGGAAGACTTCATGCCCATCTGGGGTTGCTGAAGTCTCCCACCAGGGCTGGCGTGGGGCACGGGCACAGCACCCCTGGCTTTGCCAGGGCCACAGGAGATGTTGTACAGCACAACTGTGTGCAGATGAAAGGGGGGATCTTTGGTTCACAATTGCTCGTTGTGTAACAGAACCATTGGGAAAACGGTATCTTTAACTCTGCTGGTTCAGGGCACTTTTCACTTGGGTTTTATTTACCTTTGTCTTTAATTTTCTTGGTGTCTCTCTTCCCTTTTCCTGGGTATAACGTTTTCACACACAGATGTCTCCTCGCTCTGCCCGGCGACGTTGGTCCATACAAGCAATTAACGACTTCCCGGTACTGTGCGCTGTGCTAATACTGTCCTTGATATAACCCTGTCTTCTGCCCAAGGGCCCAAGAATAAAATGCCACCTGCCTGCCTTTGAGTAACCTGCACAGAGGTGGGGCACTTGCCTGAGCTTCAGAAAGAGTCAACACACTGTGTAAGTGGACAGGAGCTGGTTTGCAGGGTACAGATACTCACCTACAAACATGCTTAATTTAGCAGTGGGGAAAGGATGCCAGAGGGGTAGTTTGAAGTGTAAGAAGTGATCCAACCTCTAAGAAACAGAGAGGAGCTGGCTGATTCTTACGTGGCATCAACCAACTGATGAGAGTGACATGAAAGCACCTCATTTCTGAGAAAGGTGGAGCCTCGTCGGAGAGGGAGGATCGCTGAAGAGCTGTGGAAGAAACAAACTGGTTGAGCTGCTGACAACGATCTGTCATCTCGTTAAAATGAGTGCAACACGCTGCAAAGCCTTATTTACTGGAGCAATAAATAGAATTTCTCCTTAATTTGTGACCTTCTGCCAGCCCTCGCAGCCGCACCGCCCTGTGTTCAGTTGGGGTGGTTGCTCTTTTGGCCACCCCGGCAGGTTCTCCCTCCTCCTGGCACTGGTTCTTCTGAGGCTTTGACACTCCATTTCCATGACTCAGGTCCACGTGTCACTCAAGCTTGAACATGGTCCGTGTGAACGTGTTGATGGTATCAGCGTTGCTCAAGCTGTACTGGAAATTTGGGCAATTACTATCTCATCGCTCATCTGCCAAGCACAGGCGAAGCTTTGAAAGCTCCATTTCAATTTGAAGATGATCTCTTTGGGTCTGTTTTTCTTAATGCCTGCGCCAGCAACTGGTTTTTCACAGCTGCTGTCCTTCTTGCTCTCCCTTCATAAGACAGCAGGGAATAAAATAGAATCCTGTAACACCTAATTTAACTTGGTATAATAGGATCAAGCCTTCCTAATTACAACAGCTCTAAGACTATACTAGCAAATAATAGGTGAAAGAAACCAGAAGTAATTTACTTGACTCCGTCAAGGCTTTTTGCAAAGAGCTAATAAAGAAATGTGAGCAGTGGAGGCAAGAAATGAAGTTCTGTCTTGGATCAGGAACAGACTGAAAGAAAGAAAACCAAGCAAGGAACTTGCCAGCTCCCGGTGTGGCAAATTGGGGTACACAAAGGGCAACAGTTTAATTCCCTCACCACTGGCGTGGAAGGAGGAGCGAGTAGGGACGTGATAAAGTTATAATTTTGTGTAACGTGTACTTAAAAATGATGTATGGATTGGTCCAAGCCTTGAAGGACTGGTTGTGTTGGTGGATAACCTTCAGAAGAGGCTGATCACGCTCGCTGAAGTGAAGGCGAAGACGCAGGCGTGCATGAAGAGAGGTGTGGATTATTTGTGCAGACCAGATGCCTGCCTTCTGGAAGAAGAGGTGGACATTTTCAGGGTGCTCAGGGGAGGAAGAGCTTAGCAAGCCTAGAAGAAGGAATAATTCCTCCTCCTTTCTAGATAATGACTAGCCTCCGATTCAGAAATGCCTCTGCTTCTGGGCAGGCGCCAGCTATTAATTGATGGAAGCTATAAAGAAATATTCCTGCTGGGGGGCACTTGATTCAGAAGGGCCCCGGATTTGTTAGTCCCTTTGTGGAAGTGGCCTGGTGCTGTGGGAGATGCTGAAAAGTAGTAAATGTTGATTATTTTGAAGAGGAAAATCCAGGCATGACCTGTGGGGGGGAGTTAGTCTGTAGGCAGTTGTTCAGAACGAAGGAGCGTAGCTTTCTGCAGGGAGGCAGCAATTTTTAAAATTTTATTTAAAAAAAAAAAAGAAAAAAAAGAATATTGGAAGCAGCTTGAACCTGACATTGAGCAGGTTTAACTCTTTATTTTGTCAAATGCCTTATTACAGCTTAATCTTCGGCATCGAGCCTGTTCCATTCTATCCACAGCCCTTCCCTTTGCACCGGTTTATACCAGGAACCCTGAAATTTTGCATATACTTATGCGAAACAGGCACTTTACCTCTCCCGATGCCGCTTCCCAGCCCTGCCTGCCTGAGCAGGACCCAAAGACACACACCCCCAGCTGCTGGGCATCCTTTCCGAGCGGGCACGCCAGCCTCTGGTAACGACTGCTGCCGAGTATGCAGCGATGGTGGTTGCTACGAAGCAGCCGGTGGCTTATTCTTGGGCTGTCTGTTTTCTCCGTGTAACCCATTTACTGCCATCGTTATCACCTCCGATTGCAGCAAATTGCAGCCTTGGGTATGGTAGTGCAGGTGCAGGCTGGCTTTTTTTAGTCGTTATTCGGTGCTGTTCCCCGCTGTCACCTCCAACCCCATGATTGTCATGAACGCTCTGGTCTCTTTCCTTCTGGTGCTCTGAGGAACTGATGAGTCTTAATTTGCTATCTCTGTAGCTGTTTTCTTTCTTTTCTTCCCCTCCCTAAACTCTCAGGATGCAGCTGGGTAGATGCACTTCCCTTTGGTGTGGATTCTACGCTGCAGAAAGAGCTAGAAATGTCAGGGGTGGTGTAGAAGACCTGTGTCTTGGACCTTCAGCTCTCAATAGTTAGCTTGGGGCATGCATGTTGACTTCTGCTTCAGCTCCCACCCTTATGTTTCCCGCTCCTGCTCACGACCTGCGCTCCAGCCCCTGGGAAGAGACGTGTTTTCTCTTCCATCCTAATGTCCTTGAACCTCGGTGACACCTTCCCATGACACTGTAGTGGGAGCTTCTCCTGGGAGAAGAGGTGCAGCAGAAGGGAGAGAGGAACCCTGTGGTGGACCTTGGCCAGCCAGACCCCAGCTAGAGCTCTCCTTGGTAATTCTTGCTAAAAGCACTCACAAATGCTGCCTGGTGGAGAGCTACTCCTGTAATTAATGCCAGCGATGATTTGGTTCAGAGTAGAGCATCTGCCATCAACGGTGATGAGCTTTACCCCATCCATGTGTTGGATGAGTTAAGTCAGGTTCCCACACTTCTGATCGTAGGGGTTTTTTCTGACTCTTTTGTTGCTGTAGCTGAAGAAAACCTGAATTGCCAAAACCCAGACGTGTTTAAGGGTGACTGTATATGTGGCCTTATGAATTTCTTGTGCCAGGGGCTGGCAGCAGCGCTCATGGAAGTGTAGTACTGGCAGGGCATATGGCCACCAACTGACTCTCCTCCAGCAGCTGCACCAGTAAACAATGAGGGCTTCCCTTTTCGCCAGTAAATAGGCAGTGCCAAGAGGAAGGAAACAGGACAATTTTGTTGCGAGTCCCAAGTTTTCCGGGGGTTCTGATACATTTAGTGTCTCCATTTGTCTGGTGGTACGCTAACAGCAAGCAGTGGAAACCATTCGTGGGACCTCTCTTCCATTCTCATCCTCATTCGTTGTCATTTCTCCTCAAAAAAAAAAAAAGCGACTGAATTACCTGTGGCAAGTGATATGTGTTGTCCGTGTTTCTGGTCCTTGAAATGCCTGTTGGGAGGCTCCTTCCATCCACTCCTGCAGAGGGCAGGAGCAGGTTGAATCCATTCCTGGTGATGGGGCAGTGGACCTGCCTCTGTCAGGGCGAACCCTTCATCAGCTGCGAGTCTTGGGGGCTTGCAGATGGTCAGGGGGTGGGAAGCTGCTCTCCAAATTACCTGCCAAGCTCTAGAAACCCTTGGTGATAGACCTGCAGAATGTGGTTCTGCATCTGCAAGCCTGGCTTCACGCGCCTGCTCAGACACCACACAAACAACAGCTTTTGGTGGGGCAACGCTGTGAGGAACCTGGTAGCCCTTCCCAGGATGAGTGCTTGAGCTCTTGCCCTGATGGCACGTCGTGGTGCTGGGGCTCCCAAGCTTTGCTCAAGTACCATTTTTGGCAACATCAGCAGCTCCTGGCTGTACAGCATTTGGCCACCCTGATGAGGAACAAGCTACAGGTGCTGCTGTTGTTTGGGAACCTTGCTGTAATCCAGGCCACGTCCTTCAGCATGGCAAGGGTAGGTCCATTTTTAGGTGTTATTAAAAGAGGGATAGTCTGCCCAAGGGTAAAAGAACCAGAGCTGGTCCAGACAGGCACCTTGATTAGGAGCTGATGGGCTGAAGAGGGTTTGATCTCCCACCCCACCACCTTCTGGCCACCTTCTTTAGTGCTTCTCAGCTTCAGAGCGATGTAGCAGAGAAATACTGCAGGCAAATTCTGCTTGGGTAGATTTGGGCCTTGAGAGAAGGTGGCAGAGAACAGAATCCTGCCCTACTCAGCCAGCTTTTCCAAAGCACTGAACTTTGGGGTTCAGTGGGGTTCACTGGGGCTGATGGCCCCGTTTCCACCAGCGTTGGGCACCTCTGGGTGGTGGGCAGCGTGCACCCGCTGCTCCTCTTCACTCCGGTGGAAGGTCAGGGGAACTGTGGTGATGCCTGGGGCAGCCCTAGAAAAATCCTCCTTCGCCTCCTTCAAGTCTGAAATGTCTTCTTCACTTACTGCCAAGCCCGTGCTTGAGCCTCGGCCACCCAGTGTGTCCAGAGGGTCTTCAGGAGCATGTCCTTTTTGCTTCTTGTGACATGGCATTGCACTCAGTGTGGCAGGACCTCCTTGGCACGTTGGCTTCAGCTTGGGCCAGGCAGGCAGTGAAGGAGGAATTAATTTCTTAAGGTTCTTAGGTTTTTTTGAAGGACGTTTGGTGTCTCTGATAAGCCTGCCCAGGTTCTCTGAGGGCTGTATGATCACGATCAAAGGCAGTTTGGTGCCCAGCCGTCCCAGAGCTGGCTTCACAGTAGAGGTGACCCTGCTTGAAGGTCCAAGGCCTGCCCTTCTGTAGCCCAGCCTGCTCTTCAGGAGCACTTAGGGCTGCTTTGCTGGCTCCTTCATAGTTACCATTCTCCTTCAGTGCAGGAAGCTCCCCCACCAGTGCCTCAGGAAACCCTCCATAGCTTAGTATGACCAGGAGAAGGTTCTGTGTCAGTGAGGGGACATGCCACATGGGAGCAGCATTGCTCCCGAGCTTCCCTCTGTGGAGCTCCAGTACCTTCTGCCTGTCATTCTCCTGCACATCCTCCCGTCCCTCCTCCTCACCCTCCTGGAGCGAGGAGCTGGAAGAGGCCAGGATACCACCCAAATGCTCTCCGGTGTCTCATACAGCCAAGGTGGCTTTATGCAGCTTGGCCTTAAAACTGCCTCCGTGGTCATTACCGGGAGCATTTGGGAATCTTGGCTTCTTGGTTTTGTTCCCTTGTGTTGATTCCTCTCCTTTCTTCTCCCCCTGACTCCCCCTTATGTCCTGAGCCAGCCCTAAGTAGCCCTGAGCACGGTAGCTAAGGGTCCTTGGTAGGAAAACTTGGGCCCTGCTTTATCATCTGCCAATTTTTTGGTGGAAGCCGTTGATAAAGCAGGAGGTGGGAGCCCTGACCTGGCGCTAAAGAGGGAGTTACTCAAACCTCGAAAGGAGAGACCATAAGAGACAGTCCAGAGCTCTCAGGTGGCCCTGAAGCTAAGGGCAAGCAGAAGCTGCCTCCTGCTGATGTTGGCTGAAGTCAGCGGTGGTCTGTGAGCAGAGGGTTCCCAGACCAGACCCCTAAGGAGAGAGATAATTGAGCTGTCCTCCTGCCCAAGCTGCCCAGGTTTGATGGGCATCCCGATGCCGATTTGTTCTCCCAGTGGCTTTCGTAGGGGAACTCACAAAATCTTTTTTTGAGTGAGTTTGACCTTGAGCTCGCTGCCTTGACCTGCTTTTCACTCCCTACAGATGGAGATGCTTGTTCTCCTGGGCATGTCGTGGATGTTTTCCAGGGTAACACAGAGCCTTCCGAAAGGCAGGTTTGGGCGCTGCTTGCATTATTCCTCACCCTAGTGCTTTGTTCCCTGGCCCGAGAAGCCTGCTTGTCCTCCTCCCCGCTAACACGCTGCCCTTCCTTCTGCAGAAATCCAGGAGGTGGAAAAGCAAACGAGAAGGGACAGATGCCAACAACCGACCCATCAAAGCCGCTGGGAAAGTTATTATCCAAGACATTTCCTGCTTGCTGCCTGTCCACAAGCTGCTGGGAGAGCTCTACATGTGAGTAGGGGCTGGAATCCTTTCCCAAAGGAAAGCGGCTGCTCTCGGCGTGGCTATGCTTTAGTCCTGATGTCAGTCAGCATGGATCTTTAAATGTTTCTGTGCCTTCCTCCTCCGTTCTTGCCTTCCTGCTTTTTTACAGGGTCCCCCTCAGCCTGAGAAAGGGCACTTGTCTCCTGTAAGTCTAAAAAGTGTGATGGGAGAAATCTGCAATGGTGTGTCGTACACGGGCGGCCAGCATCACCCCTGCCAACCTTACAGGGTCAGGTTCTCATCAGCTAAGGGGAGAAAATATCAGTACATATTCTTTAAACTCCACACTTAAATGCCCAGGTTTAAAAATCCTAATAAGTGCACATTTTCCCACTATAAAACTGATACTAGCTCATAAGGCTTTTTAATTCCAGCAGTATTTGGAATGCCCCATTCCTAGGGAGACTCGGTTGTACGTGCCGGTGTCTGTACAGCAGGTTCTTCAGCTTCAGTGGAAAGGATGGAGAAGTTCTTTGAGTTTTGTTTTGGTTGGTTGTTGTGGTTTTTTTTCACAAGGGATGTCTTTTTCCAAACTGTCTAATTCAGATAGTTACCAAATCTCTGTTCCTGGATTTTTTCTTCCTTAGCTTTGGTAGGACTGTCTGATCCTTCACAGGATTTCCATTCTGTGGACGTTCAGGGAAGAAGCAGGCTTCCCTGCCTGGGGGGAAGAAATCTTCCTTCTCCCTTCCCAATGTTGTTATAAAGAACATTCTTTAAAAAGACCTGTTGGACCTTTCTTCCCTGGATGTCTCATGTGTAAACAGCCTGACCCTTTTCCATTTGCTATAAGATCTTAAACAGTAAATGTGTCGAGTGTCCTGCGAAGGTTTGTGACAATAAGCAGGAAAGCCCACGTGGGTTTCCCCAGCCCACCTTGCCAGCCTCTTGGAGACTCCCCACTGGGTGCGTTCTCCTACTGGGGAACAGGCTGAAGACCAGTCTGCTCCACCAGCAAACCACTGTGTGTCTCTGGGTCAGTCAGAGCAGCCCAACAGGCTGAACGGGAACAGGACCATTAACTGATGGCACCAGCTTCTAGGGATAAGAGCGAATCTTGGCTGGGTGATATCCTGCCACAGGTTTGGTCCCGTGTCTCCTTGGAAGCAGCACATTTTAGGATCAATCCCAGCTAGTTTGGAGCTGGACTTGATGTGCAGTCTGTTAGGGAAGGTGAATAGTGGAAGGATAGCAGTGATCCCCAATTAACAGGGGAGGAAGGGACGGGGTCCTGTCCGTGCTCTCAGGCTGGTGTTGATCTGGAAGTTCTGGGCTACTCCCTGCTGCCGGTACCACTCTCCCCCCACCTCTCCATCTTTGGAAGCAGGTGAATAGTAGGATCTGCCAACCAGACCTGAGCTGTCTTCTTTCTTTTTAGACTTAACGTGAATAATATCCAGGAGACTTGCCAGAAGAATGCTGCCTCAGCCCTGGCTGTTGGACGGAGGGACCTCGTACAGGTATTACTCTGAATCAGTCCTCTTCCTCACTGTGCTGGGCTGCCCTCAAATGCCTTCTACTGTCACCATGGTTCCCCAACAGCCAGCTGGGCTCAGCAGTTGCTCCAGGGACCTCTCCAGTTGGTGAACCAAGGCCTGTGGAACAGCCAGGGAGGTGGTCTCTTGGCATCCAGGGCTGGAAGCAAGTTGTGTTAATGCCCTTTTGCCAAAATGAGCAAAGAGTGTTTTTTCAGGGGATTCCTGCAGGCAAAGCGAGGAGCGCGGCCTGGTTTTGAGTCAGTGAATGGAGTAACTGTGCACACAGTGGCCTGGCTGCTGTCAGCATCTGGGTGGTGGTTTTTGTCTTGTTTATGTGGTGGTTCATGTTGTTCATGCCCTGGCACTGGGTGCTAACTGCAGCCAGCTTCTCCCCAGCAGAGTTCCGAGCCCCAGAAGGCTGGCTGCTTCCCTTCAGCTAGCATTAGGAGAAAAATGGCTATTTTGGCCCATCCTTTTCCTTGTGGTTGGTCCATCGCAGCAGGCAGAACGTTTGACAGGAGTGAGGAGTGGCTGGGAATGGGCTGGCACTGCCAGAGGAGCCTGTGTCCCTCTCCCAAGCACTTGGCTCTTCCTAGAGCTGGGCAGGGAACGTGCGTAGGCTCATCTGGTCAAAGCAGAAGCAAACTCAAGCTGTTGTCTTGCTTCTCAGTGGGTTCTGCTAGACCAGGAGAGAGAAGGTAGGTCTAGTTCCCCTTTGTCTGTGCTTCATCTTACTGCCTAGTTTGCCCATGTCAGACCAGAGCTTGGGTGGAATAACTTCAGCAAGACTTCTCTGAGATTCCTCTGATTCTTGCTGGTTTTTTCCCTGTCCTATGGAACTCTAGCCTGTATTGCAGCATTGTTTTTTCTTTACTTTTCTGTGTTGGCAGCTCTCATTTCTGCTGTCTTTCCACCGCCACGCTCCTTTTCTTTTCCTGCTCTTTTTTTCATGCCAAACCAGGAGCTTTGCTTTTCCCTGGAATATTCTAGTTGTCCCATTTTAAAAGGCACAGCAGAAACAAACAGTCCTAGGTCCATGGTATAGCGACTGAAAAGATGGAACCATTTTCAGACCAGAGAATGACAGATGAAGGAGAGATTTCATGTGAAATAGTTAAACTGTTGGGGTAGAAATGGCAAAGTGTACTCCTGTCTGCGCTGGGCTGTGCTGGGAGAACAGAGGTGTTCAGTAATGCCTGAGCTAATCAAAAGATACTTTTCATGCAAATAATGATTCACCAGTAAACTTCCTGCCACCAGACATCTCCAAAACCAAGAACTACCTCAAATTTAAAGCCTTGTAAGGTTTCTGAATATAAAATGCACTAATAGGTCTGTTAATTTACCCTGACTATAGACTATTATTCTTCAAAGTTTAATTCAAATTCAAGGCAAGTGGGACAGGGAAAGCTTCGAGTTCCTGTCATTCTCTATATAATTTGTGACACGAAAGCTAAAGCTGCTCCCTGCTGCCAGGAGGGGAAAAAAAAAAAACAAACCAAGCTCCATTATTATCTGTCTGCGAGTGAATTTGTGCACACCTATGCCCTGGGAGTGTGATTATTTCTAATTGCAGCTTTGATGCTTTTCCTTCCTGTCTGCCAGGTTTGGTCACTGGCCATGGTAGCCACTGATCTCTGTCTCGGACCGAAGTCTGACCCAGATTTGGAGATACCTTGGGCACAACATCCATTTGGACGTCAATTACTGGAGTCCTTGTAGGTGTCTGAACGCTGGGGAGAGGCTGGGGAATGTTTGCTGATGCAGAGCCCTCTATAACTATGGACATTGTACGGCATCTTTTCGGGCTTGGCATCGCGCGCTGAACGGGAACAGGACCATTAACTGATGGCACCAGCTTCTAGGGATAAGAGCGAATCTTGGCTGGGTGATATCCTGCCACAGGTTTGGTCCCGTGTCTCCTTGGAAGCAGCACATTTTAGGATCAATCCCAGCTAGTTTGGAGCTGGACTTGATGTGCAGTCTGTTAGGGAAGGTGAATAGTGGAAGGATAGCAGTGATCCCCAATTAACAGGGGAGGAAGGGATGGGGTCCTGTCCGTGCTCTCAGGCTGGTGTTGATCTGGAAGTTCTGGGCTACTCCCTGCTGCCGGTACCACTCTCCCCCCACCTCTCCATCTTTGGAAGTAGGTGAATAGTAGGATCTGCCAACCAGACCTGAGCTGTCTTCTTTCTTTTTAGACTTAACGTGAATAATATCCAGGAGACTTGCCAGAAGAATGCTGCCTCAGCCCTGGCTGTTGGACGGAGGGACCTCGTACAGGTATTACTCTGAATCAGTCCTCTTCCTCACCGTGCTGGGCTGCCCTCAAATGCCTTCTGCTGGCACCACAGTTCCCCAACAGCCAGCTGGGCTCAGCAGTTGCTCAAGGGACCTCTCCAGTTGGTGAACCAAGGCCTTTGGAACGTGGAACAGCCAGGGAGGTGGTCTCTTGGCATCCAGGGCTGGAAGCAAGTTGTGTTAATGCCCTTTTGCCAAAATGAGCAAAGAGTGTTTTTTCAGGGGATTCCTGCAGGCAAAGCGAGGAGCGCGGCCTGGTTTTGAGTCAGTGAATGGAGTAACTGTGCACACAGTGGCCTGGCTGCTGTCAGCATTTGGGTGGTGGTTTTTGTCTTGTTTATGTAGTGGTTCATGTTGTTCATGCCCTGGCACTGGGTGCTAACTGCAGCCAGCTTCTCCCCAGGAGAGTTCCGAGCCCCAGAAGGCTGGCTGCTTCCCTTCAGCTAGCATTAGGAGAAAAATGGCTATTTTGGCCCATCCTTTTCCTTGTGGTTGGTCCATCGCAGCAGGCAGAACGTTTGACAGGAGTGAGGAGTGGCTGGGAATGGGCTGGCACTGCCAGAGGAGCCTGTGTCCCTCTCCCAAGCACTTGGCTCTTCCTAGAGCTGGGCAGGGAACGTGCGTAGGCTCATCTGGTCAAAGCAGAAGCAAACTCAAGCTGTTGTCTTGCTTCTCAGTGGGTTCTGCTAGACCAGGAGAGAGAAGGTAGGTCTAGTTCCCCTTTGTCTGTGCTTCATCTTACTGCCTAGTTTGCCCATGTCAGACCAGAGCTTGGGTGGAATAACTTCAGCAAGACTTCTCTGAGATTCCTCTGATTCTTGCTGGTTTTTTCCCTGTCCCATGGAACTCTAGCCTGTATTGCAGCATTGTTTTTTCTTTACTTTTCTGTGTTGGCAGCTCTCATTTCTGCTGTCTTTCCACCGCCACGCTCCTTTTCTTTTCCTGCTCTTTTTTTCATGCCAAACCAGGAGCTTTGCTTTTCCCTGGAATATTCTAGTTGTCCCATTTTAAAAGGCACAGCAGAAACAAACAGTCCTAGGTCCATGGTATAGCGACTGAAAAGATGGAACCATTTTCAGACCAGAGAATGACAGATGAAGGAGAGATTTCATGTGAAATAGTTAAACTGTTGGGGTAGAAATGGCAAAGTGTACTCCTGTCTGCGCTGGGCTGTGCTGGGAGAACAGAGGTGTTCAGTAATGCCTGAGCTAATCAAAAGATACTTTTCATGCAAATAATGATTCACCAGTAAACTTCCTGCCACCAGACATCTCCAAAACCAAGAACTACCTCAAATTTAAAGCCTTGTAAGGTTTCTGAATATAAAATGCACTAATAGGTCTGTTAATTTACCCTGACTATAGACTATTATTCTTCAAAGTTTAATTCAAATTCAAGGCAAGTGGGACAGGGAAAGCTTCGAGTTCCTGTCATTCTCTATATAATTTGTGACACGAAAGCTAAAGCTGCTCCCTGCTGCCAGGAGGGGAAAAAAAAAAAACAAACCAAGCTCCATTATTATCTGTCTGCGAGTGAATTTGTGCACACCTATGCCCTGGGAGTGTGATTATTTCTAATTGCAGCTTTGATGCTTTTCCTTCCTGTCTGCCAGGTTTGGTCACTGGCCATGGTAGCCACTGATCTCTGTCTCGGACCGAAGTCTGACCCAGATTTGGAGATACCTTGGGCACAACATCCATTTGGACGTCAATTACTGGAGTCCTTGTAGGTGTCTGAACGCTGGGGAGAGGCTGGGGAATGTTTGCTGATGCAGAGCCCTCTATAACTCTATAACTATGGACATTGTAGGTGCCATTTTCAGGCTTGGCATCGCGCCGCAGCCTCTAATTTTTCCTCTCTCAAGCCCGAGGTGCCTCAAGGGGAGCTGCGAGTATGTTTGTGACACAAGGGAGGCAGCACTTGGCCTCCCCTCCAGCACCCAGCTCTTCCTGGGCTGAGGTTGAGCAATAGGCTGGGTGCAGCAGGAGCTCTGCTCCCCAGCCTGCCCACAGTGCCCGGCTGGGAGATGCTGATTTTCTGCTCCCCACCTCCTAAATGAGTGTCTTGGTGCCGCTGATTTATCATTCACCTTTCACTGCTGCCAGTTGCTGGGAAATCGTTCCACTGATCTCAAACCCAAGTGTTGGCTGCAGTGAATCTCTTTAGGAGGGGACATAATCAGTAATTGATACTATCCATCGATATACCCTGTTTGGAGGCACGGGATCTGTGTGGTGTACTCTGCATATGATTGCTTGACCTACCTCTTTCCTGCTGTGTGGCAGCAGTGGGAGGGGAGGATGGGTAGGTCTTCATGACTGTGGGTCTTCAGAACAATCCAGAAACTTCACAACCCTCCAAAAAACCTGGGGTGGGGTTTCGCCTCATGATCTAGATGTGGGATGCTTGCACCAAGGGGGTTTTGTCCAAAAGACGTCCTGGCTGGGGGTGAGTTAATGGCTCCAGCTTTACATCCAGTTAAAATCAGCTCTGTGGACGTTGTTCCTGAAGGTGCACAAACTTGGGACAATCGGGTCACGAGCACTGCTGGATTCCCAGAGCTCCCATCTTTCTCCCACCTGTGAGGCCACCAGTGTTTTCAGGAGGAGGACTTGGCTCCTCAAAGGTGTGATGGAAAAGACAATCTGGCCCCACAGAGCACATGTGCCTCCTTTGGGCAGTAACGAGACCCAAATCCATTGATACAAGGGGTTTGAAATTGGTTGTCCTGGAGCCTCGATGCTTTTGCTGCTGAATTCTACGCGGTGTCACACCGTCTGTCCTTTCTGTTCCCCAGGCTGGCTCATTACTCACAGCTCCACGATGTGCAGACCCTGGCCATGCTCTGCAGCGTGTTTGAAGCCCAATCCAGGCTACAAGGCTGCCCCAATTCCTACGGCCCCTTTCCTCAGCGTGCCTCCAACCTGGCCTCCCACAGCCGATACGTAAGATCGCCCTTTCTTCCCCGTTTTTCTCGGGTATCTTTGAATATCTCTCACGTAGCTGACATGGTTTCCTCTCCTTTTCCCCTCCACAGCCTAGCTTTACTTCCTCTGGCTCCTGTTCCAGCATGTCAGATCCTGGACTCGGCACCGGAGGCTGGAGCATAGGTACTGAGATCTGGGGAGTACATAGAGGAATCTGCCTCCCTCCTGGCTTAGGGTTTAGATGGAAAGAAGGGGGTTAGTACTGGCTGTTGCCAGAGCATCTCTCTGGGCTTTGGCCAAGGTGAGGTGACTCCGTGGCTGGAAGTGAGCAGGGCTTGCAGTGACCATGCCTGTGCCCCCTCTGACTCCGTAGCATCCTGTCCCACTGGAGAAACTCTGACAAACAACCCAGACAAACCAAGCTGGGCCCCTGGATCGCAGGCTAACCCAGAGCCAAGAGCTCCCACTGCTTCCTTCTCCGCCTGGAGACAAGCAAAGAGAGAGACCAGTTTGTCCCAGTTTGTTTCCAGCCTGGCTATAGCAAGCCCTCGGGGTGACTGCCTGGTGCCATAGACTCTCCACAGCACTTTGATTGGTTTGATGGTGTTATCCATGACAGCTACTCCTGGTAATTCCCTTGTCCTTCACGTTGCCAGGAGTAGCTTCTCCATCACCTTCCCAGGGATGGAGGTCGGGCTGACTGGCCTGCAGTTCCCTGCGTCCTCCCCCTTGTCCTTTTTTTGAAGACAGGAGTGACATTTGCTTTCCCCCAGTCCTTGGCCACCTCTCCCAGTCACCACCATCATTCAACAATTACCAAGAGCGGCCTCGCAATGTCATCAGCCGGCTAATTCCACAGGCTTCAGGGGGAAAAAGCAACGCTGTGCTTTCTCCCAGCACTGGAAAACCATCAGCAATGGGGAGGGCTGGGTTCTAGGTGCCACCAATACCCATGGGTAAAGAAAGCCTAAGGAGGCTTTCTGCTGAGCTGTGGAGGTGTCAAAGACAAGTCACTCTTAAGGGCTCTCCAGGTGTCAGAGTTGAGGCTGTTGGCTGATTCCTGGTGATACACACAGCCTGGGGCAGCAGCAGCCCTTTTAGCACCAAAGCTGTAGCTTTTCAGTTGTGTTATGAGGGGGAAGAGCAGAGAATGGGGGGTTAACGAGCTGATGTTGTCTTGTAGGGGTTATTAGGAGTCTTCTCCCTGCCCCCAGGGCCATGCCTTACCTACAGAGGCCCCTTTACGAAACAGCAGCCCGGGGATGAGAAGTCCTCCCTCTCTAGGAAAGAGGAGCCCAGGCCTGCCAGGGATAGCATTCCGAGGGCAAACACTGTGGGATTGGTTGCCTGGACAATTTTTGTCCAAACTGGGAGACAAAAGGGCTTGTCCCTGTCACCAGAAGCGCAGCAGAAGCCCTTGGCAAGGAGAGGTTGGCACTTCATTTCTGGGGCAGCACTCGTAGGGACGCAGAAGGTGATACCAGTGTGTCTTAGAGAGGAAAAACGGGGTGTGCCAAAGTGTGGCCTTCCTTTTCTCCTTCCCCACCCCGTTTTGGAGGTGGTTGTACACGTGAGCACTCTGCTCACTGAGGTGATGCTCACCACTTTTTGGTGCTTGCAGCAAACAAAGACACGGAGCAGGCCTCCACTCCCTGGTGTGAGTCTTCTCCGGATGATTTCCGCTACGGAAACCTGATGTATCCTGACCATCGGGAGCGTGAGAGGGACCAGCACGAGAAAAACAAAAGGTGGGTTATGGCATGTCTTGGGGTGCTCAGGGATGCACGAGTCTGTGCCCAACTCAGCTGGAACTCCACAGCCAGGTCTCTCTGGGTGCTGCCAAGCAGCCCCCCTGCTCCTCGACCTTTTCCTTCAGAGAGTCCCCTGGAGAATCATGGAATGGTTTAGGTTGGAAAGGACCTTAAAGCCCCCCCAGTGCCACCCCCTGCCCTGGGCAGGGACACCTCCCACCACACCAGGTTGCTCCAAGCCCCCTCCAACCTGCCCTTGAACCCCTCCAGGGATGGGGCAGCCACAGCTTCTCTGGCCAACCTGGGCCAGGCTCTCACCCCCCTCCCACCAAACAAGTTCTTCCCCACATCTCAGCTCCATCTCCCCTCTTTCAGGGTCAAACCCTTCCCCCTCCTCCTCGGGCTCCCCTCCCTGATCCAGAGTCCCTCCCCAGCTTTCCTGGAGCCCCTTGAGGGACTGGAAGGGGCTGGAAGGTCTCCCCGGAGCCTTCTCTTCTCCAGGCTGAACCCCCCAACTCTCTCAGCCCCCCCTCCCAGCAGAGGGGCTCCAGCCCTCCCAGCATCTCCATGGTCTCCTCTGGCCCCACTCCAACATGTGCTGGTCCTTGTGCTGACAACTCCAAATCTGGATATATATCTGGATATAATACTCCAGGTGGTGTCTCTCCAGAGTTCTTGTGCTGACAACTCCAAATCTGGGTATAATACTCCAGGTGGTGTCTCTCCAGAGTGGAGCAGAAGGGTAGAATCAGCTCCTTCCCCCTGCTTCGTGGTGCAGAGCAGTTCTGCTGGGATTGCATATGATACATCTGTAAGTGGCGATGGTGGGGGTCCTACAGGGTAGCCCACCCATTTGTCACACCCTTGAGTGTAGAACAAGTGAAAACCAGACCAGGCAGTGTCCAGCAGTGTTTCAGCAGCACGTGGGAAGTGAACTGCTCTTTTTGTAGCCACGTGAGCTGGTTGCGTAGCCATCCCTGGGAAGAGGATTGCAACCAGAGGCTCTGTGAGTCAATCAGGTGGATGACAACCCTCTTTGTTCCTCTAGGCTCCTGGATCCTGCCAACACTCAGCAATTTGATGACTTCAAGAAGTGCTATGGAGAAATCCTTTATCGCTGGGGCCTGCGAGAGAAACGGGCTGAGGTCCTGAAGTTTGTCTCTTGTCCTCCTGATCCCCACAAGGGAATTGGTGAGTCTTTGCTCCGGCTGCCCAGGCGGAGTCATGGCGCTGCCTCGGGAGCTTAGGGATGAAAAGCATCCATCAGTCTGCCCAGAAATTAGCTCTGACAGCAAATGGGTTTAGCTTCTTCGCAGCCCTGGTGGAGAGGAGGGTTGCAGGTGTTGGTTCGAGGCCTTTGTAGACTTGTAGCATCTCTCCAGCGAGGCTGGAACCGCGCTAGCCGTGTCCAGTGATTTCTGCTGGTGGCTGTTCTTTCTTCCCTTTGAATAAGACCAAGATCTCTGGCTGTGGCTGAGCGAGACAAGAAATAGGCAAATGGAACCTTTCTCCCAAAATATTTTCAGCAGCATGAAGGTGAAGGACAGCTGCCCAAATGTCCTCTCCCTGGGCCTCTGGGAAAAGATACACTTCACCTGGGGGGAGAGAAGCGGGTGAGAGGTACAAGAGAAGCTGAGGTTGTCTCACCTTGTCACCAGGGACAAGTGAAGTGAAAATTGGTGACTTGGACCCCTCCGTGGCCACCAGTCTGTTCCATGCTGTCTCCGAGATGAGAAACCAAGGCCGTTCTCACTTGCTCTTAGTTACACCTTGGAGAGCTGTGAGGCAGATGAGCACAAAGATCGTCCATGATGTGGACTGTGAGGGTGGTGAGAGCCTGGCCCAGGTTGGCCAGAGAAGCTGTGGCTGCCCCGTCCCTGGAGGGGTTCAAGGGCAGGTTGGAGGGGGCTTGGAGCAACCTGGTGTGGTGGGAGGTGTCCCTGCCCAGGGCACAGGGGTGGCACGGGGTGGGCTTTACAGAATCACAGAATCTTCTAGGTTGGAAGGGACCTTAAAGATCATCTTGTCCAACCGTCAACCTGACTGACAAAAATAGACACCCACACAACAAACAAGAAGCATCACCATCACTAAACCACACCTCCCAGCTACATCAACCCGTCTTTTGAACACCTCCAGGGATGGTGCCTCAACCACCTCCCTGGGCAGCCCATTCCAATGGCTGAGAACCCTTTCAGTGAAAATTTTTCCTAATATCCAGCCTGAACCTCCCCTGGCGTAACTTGAGGCCATTTCCTCTTGTCCTGTCGCCTGTGACTTGGGAGAAGAGACCGACCCCCACCTCTCTACACCCTCCTTTCAGGGAGTTGGAGAGAGCAATAAGGTCTCCCCTCAGCCTCCTCCTCTCCAGGCTGAACACCCCCAGCTCCCTCAGCCTCTCCTCATAAGACTTATTCTCCAGACCCCTCACCATCTTTGTCGCCCTTCTCTGGACCCGCTCCAGCACCTCAATGTCTTTTTTATGGTAGGGGGCCCAAAACTGGACACAGTACTCAAGGTGAGGCCTCACCAGTGCCCAGTACAGGGGGACAATCACCTCTCGGGCCCTACTCGCCACGCTGTTCCTGACACAGGCCAGGATGCTGTTGGCCTTCTTGGCTTTTCTTTAAGGTCCCTTCCAACCCAACCCATTCCATGACTCTGCCAGCACTAACTGCCTTGCTCTCCCTTTCTCCCCTGGGGCCAGAGTTCGGGGTGTACTGCAGCCACTGCCGCAGCGAGGTGCGGGGCACCCAGTGTGCCATCTGCAAGGGCTTCACCTTCCAGTGTGCCATCTGCCACGTGGCCGTGCGGGGCTCCTCCAACTTCTGCCTCACCTGCGGCCACGGGGGACACACCAGCCACATGATGGAGTGGTTCCGCACCCAGGAGGTGTGTCCCACCGGCTGCGGCTGCCACTGCCTGCTGGAGAGCACCTTCTGAGCACTCCTGGCAGCAGGACACCCCTCTGCCTGCTGGAGAGCACCTTCTGAGCACTCCTGGCAGCAGGACACCCCTGAGCCAGGTTTCATATTTAATTCCCAAGCCATGGTGAACCAGCTTCTGCTCCGCAGCGTCAGGAGGAGATGCCCCGGGGAGCTGAAGCTGACGTTTCCGAGTGCTTCCAGTATTCCTACACTTCCCGGGTTGCTTTCGGATCCATTTGACCAAAATCCCCGTGTCCATTGCTGGCGATGGACCCCAGACTGGAAAAAATTGCTCTCTCCTACGGGAGGATTTTGGCCAGTCTCCGTCGGGATGAAGAGGTGGTGGAAAGCTCCTTTGGGAAGGGCTCACCCAGCTCCGGCTCGTTAGTGTCTTTCCAGGTGCCTCCTTTACGGGAGCTCGAAGTGAGCAAAATAAGTTGGGTTTTTTTGCACAGATAAGGCAGGAATAATTCGGAAGCAACAGCGAGCTCTGAAGGTGAACAGGAGACCACGCCGGAAGAGCGGACAGTCGGTGGGGCTGCGCTCGGAGTGACTTTTCGAAGCGATAGGGTCCTTATTTTGAATGGCCGTTTACACCCTTTCATTGCCCAAAAAAAGCCCAAGACTGAAACGATGTTTTTTTGGGATGATTTCCTAAATAGCTCCCTGCTGGGTCCCCGCGGCCGGCGTCGTTGCTTTCTTCCAGCAGTTTCACCCCCGTTACTCCCCGGGGGTCTCCCTCCCCTGCTCTGAGAGGTGACACAATGCACTTTAACTCGCCTGTCCCCTCCCTGCCTCGTCGGTGACACGTCCTGGTGACTCGGGAAGGCCACCTGCCTTTTGAGTTTGGGACCCACGCCGTGCTTCCCTGGGTCTGAGGGTGCTTGGAGGAGACACGAGGAGGAAGCTGGCTCCCTGCAGCTCCTTCTGGCTGGTTTTTCTCCAGGCTCTGGGGGTGTCGGGGGAATCGATGAATAATTTGAGATTTGCTTGAGTGACGTGGGAGGGGGGGCTCCTGAGGCGGGCAGGCAGCAATTTCTTGGGGAAAAAAAAAAAAAAGGGGGGGGGATTTTGGAAGGGTGGTGGGATTCACGGAGGTTAAAGGTTTGTGCCTTTTCTCCCTGTGGAGCTTCATTTGGAGAATGTTACGGGATCTGTTTTGAGTTCCAGGGACGCTGCTGGACGCAGCCTGTGCCTCTCCTGAGCAGGCTTTAGCCCGAGCTTTGGTTTTTGGGGGCAAAAATGCGTGGTGAGGGATGAGCCCGTTGGAATTACCCCCGGCCCCCATCCCTTCCTCCCGCGCTTTGCCTGCTGAGCGGGGGCCCTGCCCCCTCCCACCCATTGCTCCGACTCGGGCCGTAGGATAGAGATGGTGTATCTTAAAGGTGAAAACATTAAAGTTATTTTTTTAAGCACTGTTCTGATGGTGGAACTTGGTGTCGCTGTGCTCCTCCTCCCTCCCTGGGCGAGCTCTCCCTCCCAGCGTGACACCCCACGGCCCTCTCCCCCCACCCCAAAGCGGGGGTCCCGCTCCGGAGACCTGTGTCCGATGGGGGGGGGGAAGTTAGATGAGGGGGGAGCCCTGAGGAGCCCTGCCTTCCTGTGGGGACGATGTGGCACCCCAAAATCCAGCCGGGGCTTGGGAACCGCCTGCAGGTCCCGATGCTCCTCTTGCGCAAACGAAGCCGGGGCGGCGTCTCGAGCCTCCCATCAACCCAACCTCCCCGTCCCGCAGTTCGGGGGGGGCCCTTAGGGCAGCGTCTGCCCCCCCCCCCCCCTTAAAAATCAAGCAGGTCCTGCCCGGCGCCGCGGTGGCCCTCGGGCGAGGGTGCTCCGGGCCGGGAGCCGCAGGGAAGAGGGCTCCCAGCCTCCACCATCCTACGTGCCAGCCCTTCGGCCGGGAAGCCTTCTCCTTTCCAGGCCGGAGCGAAGGGGGAAGGAGGAGCCTTGTTATTTAGAGGTGGCGGAGCGAGGGACTGGCGGTTAATTTATGTGCGTTATTACAGCTCATTAGGGTCTATCTCCATAGCATCTGCATAACCTCCCGGGCGGAGGGTGCTGCGGAGGGAAGGCTGGAAAAAAAAGCGCTTGCCGTGGCTGTTTGTGCAACCCCGCGGAGAGGGGGGGGAGAGGAGGGGGTGGAATTTTCTCCCCCCGGCGTTTGCCTCACGCCTTGCTCAACAGCAGCCATGGCTTAGTGCCGGGAAACAGGAATGGGCTTCTTCTCCCCCGGCTTTTTCTGTCTTCCAGTAATCCCTGCCTGGAATAAATGGTCAGAGATGGGGTGTGCCGTGGGGGCACCCGTGACCCCCACCAGCCCCTTCGGCTGCTCTGCTCCCCCCTCTCCCCATCCTGGGTCTTCTTGCCCACCTCGCTCTTTGGGATAACTCGGTAAAATGCGAAAAGATCCCAAATCCAGGCAAATCCCACTCAATTTCAGGCTTTAGAGAAGGGAGTGGGTCCCCTCAGCCGGCTCTGGCAACCGGACACATGAGCTGGATCATCCAGCCGAAGGACAACGCCGTGGACCATGGTGGTCTGTCCTGGGGAGGGGGGGTTTCTGCTGGAGCAGGAACTGGGGGCCGTCGAATTAAACCCGATTTAACCCAAATTTCTCCAGCTCCTCGCAGGAGAAACCCCTTCCCTCGGGGTGTCACCGGTGCCAGGGTGTTGCCAGGTCTCTGCACCGCTGCCCAGAGGAGCTGCCACCGCTCCGGCGGGGAGGAGGGGGCCGAGCCTGGGAGGAATTTTGGGGTGACCCCGAGTCGCTGCTTGGGCACGGTGTCCCCCAGCTGCTGGCCCAGGGTGTCCCCGGGGCTGTCACCAGCTTCGGGGCTGCCTTTCCCCAGCGTGGCTGGAAGAAGGAGCTCCCACAACAACCCCACACTGTGCCCTGGAGGCCACCACTGGCTTTTTTGCTTTTTTTATGCCCTTTTTGTGCCCTTTTTGTGCTGTGTGGGGCTGGGGGGAGCAGGGGGTGCCCTCCCCAGCCCCACTGAGGCTCCATCCATGGGGACAGGAACTTGAATCCCCGATGATGGGAGTCGGGCAGAGATAAGAGCAGGGATGGTATCGGGGGAAATCAGTGGTATCGAGGGGGAAAAACCTTTCCCCGTGGACGCTGCTCCTGGTGGCATCTCTCTGCCCCCCCCTCCGTGGCCACAGCCCCATTAACCCAGCGCCGCAGGGCCCCATCCTGCCCGGGGCCCACATTCCTGCCCTCTCCCTCAGCGTCTGTCTGTCCCTCCCGTCCGTCCCTCCGTCCGTCCGGTGGGTCAAACCAGTTCAGGAACTGATGAGCCAAAGCCATTTGGGGCTGCTCTCCTTGGCCAGGGCTCATCATCAACCGGCTCCACTGGCCCCAAAGGGGGGGGTGGA